AACATATTGTTGAAAATTAGTAAATTTCGTCGACCACACATATAGTATGTGGGTTTTGACAAAACTTAGTATTCAATTTCTCCACGGCATTTAATTAGGTATTAGGTAGTTTTTTCATTTCAAGATATTTAATTAATTTTTTTGAAAATACACCCTTAATTAGGAAAAAAAAAATCTACTAAATCTCGTCTACCATAATAATTTCTTATAAATTTGGCGCAAACAATGATGGAGGAATATAGTGCTTCATTTTGAATGCGAAAAGAATCTAATTTTTCAAAGGGCATCTTCCTGCATTGATTGTGTTGGTCGGTAGATTTCAAGTTCAAGTTGTTAAGGATGGATGCCATATTTTTTAAAAAAATAAAAGATAAAATTGTTTGGCATGATATTATTTAAATATTCTATTTTTATTTCTCATTTTCTGATTTTTGTTTTCAGTTTTCAAATAATACACCTATTTGATAACTTTTTCTACTTCTCTAAAAAATTTGGATAGAATTTTGAAATAAAATAAATAAAATAATAAGTTTCTTATTTCTTGTTATAAAATGCATAATAAACATTTAAATAGGAATATAATATAAAAATATTATAATTGATTTTAAAAATAATTAAACAAGTTTTTATTTTTTAATAATAAAAAAAATAAAAACAATAATTTTCAAATATCCAGGGGCACAAACAACACATTATTGTAGTGCTAAAAAGAAACCCAGGCAGACCCACTATTGTAATTTCGCATACGTTTATAGCGTTTCCTTTTTCGAGGCTATAAATACGTGTACAAATTCCACCATCTTCGTCACCAATCTATAAATTCATATATTTGCTTACAAATTAATCAAAAAAAAGAAAAGAAAATGGAAGTTGCGCAAATTCTGTGTATGAACAAGGGAGGTGGAGAGACGAGCTACACGCAAAACTCGTCCCTACAGCAAAAGATCATATCGGACTCCATGCCGATCACCGAGAAAGCGGTGGATGCCCTTATAAGCACGGACGCTACAAGCGCTTCGCCGCCGCAAAGCATTGCCATTGCGGATTTGGGCTGCTCCTCGGGGCGCAACGCATTGCTTCTAATCTCCGACACCATCAACCTTCTTTACGCCAAGTGCAAACGCCTTGGCTACCCGCTGCCTGAAGTTTCCGTGTTCTTGAACGACCTTTTCAACAACGACTTCAATAGCATATTCGGGTCGTTGCCGGATTTCCACCGGCGGCTCAAGGATACAAACGGCGATGAAGTTGGGCGGTGTTTTATCTCCGGCGTGCCGGGTTCTTTCTATGGAAGGTTGTTTCCTAAACATAGCTTGAATTTTGTGCATTCATCTTCTAGTCTCCATTGGCTGTCGAAGGTTCCAGAAGGTTTGAAAGGAGAGGACAAAATAAGGATGAATAAAGGGAAGGTTTATCTATCTCGGACAAGCCCGCCGAGTGTTTTGTTGGCTTACGCTGCTCAGTTCAGGAATGACTTCTCGCGTTTCATAAGCTCGCGCTCTGAAGAGATGGTGTCTGGTGGGCGTATGGTTTTGTCTTTCATGGGAAGGAAATCGATGGACCCCACAGCTGCTGGTACCGCCCATCAGTGGGAGCTCTTGGCCGAGGCTTTAACCACCCTCGTTTCTCAGGTAAAGCTACGAAGACTTAAGCTTAAAGTGGATAATATCCTATAATTTTTAATATTTTTGTGTGATAGGGTTTGGTTGACGCGAAAAAGATCGAGTCATTTAATGCACCTTTCTATGCGCCATGCATGAAGGAAGTGAGGATGGAGATAGAGAAGGAAGGGTCGTTCGATATAGATCGGTTTGAAGAGTTCGACGTGGAATGGGATGACTCGGCGGAGAGGGTTAATAGTGGGCTCAAGAGTCCGTCGAGAGGACAAAGAGTGGCAAAGACGATAAGAGCTGTGGTTGAAACGATGTTGGAGTCTCATTTTAGATTTGGAGGAGAAATTATGGATGTTCTGTTCGAGCGTTATGGAGCCATTATTGAAGATTATTTGTCATGGAATACAATTAAAAGTACCAATTTAGTCGTTTCTTTTGTTAAGAAATGATTTGAATAAATGGATTTCAACCCTTTAGGAATTTTTATTTTGCTATCTTCAAATGAAATTTGGAGTACATGTCAATTTATAATTGTAATAGATTTTATTTCAATTTAAACTATATTTACGTTTATTGGCATACTAATTTTAAAGTTAAGCTTTTAGATTAAATTTTTAAAAATTTATAAATTAGGCATATTCAGTACTTTGCCGACAAGGGTGGGGAATTAATGATAATTAAGGAGAAAAATAACTTATTTTTGTTTAAATAACAAATATAAAATAATAACATGTCAATTTTTTTTTTTTTTTTTTTTGAACGATCGATCTAGAGTCTATGCTCTTTCTTGTCTTCTTGTTTGATAAAGAGACATCCATTTTTGTAGCTTTTTGTTTGATAGGAAACTATATCCCGTGACTCCTCTTGTGTAGCTCCTTACTCCAAGAGAAACGTTGGTATAAACTAAGACATCAATCATGCAATATAAACGCTAAGACATCAATCATGCAATATAAACGTTAAGGAAGTTGCTCAAATTGTCACAAAATGTTGCAATTCATGTCACGTTAAAAAAGAACCAAGTTTCATTTATTCTTAGATAATATTACTAAGTTTCATTTATTTTTAGATGATATTTCAGTGTATTTTAAATTTTTTTATTTACCTTAATGTTATATTTACACACGGAATAATTATGGTCCTAAATACAAAAAGTTACAATTTGTGAAAATGATTTTTTTCTGTATGGTTGCTTAAAACGTGTGTACCCCTAGAGCGAATTGAGCAACTTGATATGGACCCTATCATGTTGGACATAGGTCTATTATCTCTCCATTTATTACTCTTTCCATATACTTTAAAATATACTTTTAATTTATTTGGATTATAAATAAAAATAGACACAAACTTAAATAACTTACCATTTAACATTTAACATTTAACAAAATTCATTCTAATAAACAATACTTGGAACAGAGACTTGCCGTAATTTGCAATAGCTTCCTCTCATAAGCAATTCAGTAGCAGAAAAACAAGACTGCCATGAAGTTGCCCAGAACTTCAACAATTCCTATTATAATTTCTCTATAACTTTCTTTCCCTCTATGAATTTTCTTCTTTTTGATATCAATTCTAAGCTAAAACTGAATTCTTAGCCAAATTACAAAAAAATTCACTGAGGAAGTAAGCATTTATATATAAGCTCTCAAGTTTTAAAACCCAAATAATGATCAAATGGGTATCCAGCTGAATGCCAGAAAGAAAATTGAACAAACCAAGAACAGGTCTACAGCAGACCCATCAAACTCTTCGTCAACAATGAGCATTTAAAGAACAGCGAGGCAATGCAAGGCAATTGACAGAAACAAGCGGTTGAATTCAGACAAATTAGTTTCGATTGTTAAAAATTACACAGATATATGATGCAATAGAAGAACCAAAAATCTCAATATGCATTTGAATTTAACTTGTTACCAGGCTAATTGAATTCTTTAGTCTTCTACTTCTTCTTCCCTTTGCCGCCGGATTTGCGTTTTGTGGGCAGAACGATTTCACCTTTAAGGACAGGAATCTCCATCAACTGCGACAGCTCTCCAAATTTCTTGCGGAATTTCTCCACCTGATCAGCGTCTACTAGCAGGGCGGAGCGGCTGCCCAAATAGAACGGGTGATTTCCCGACCACACATCCACGGAGTACTCTTTCTGAGTCCCACCGGTCGTCATCACCAGTTCTCCGTTGCAATAAACCTTCGCATCCTCGTAGAATTGGGGATGAACATCCTTTTTCCGGCAGGTCACCACCGGCCGGTAACGTCTCGCTCCTAACTCCTGGAAATTACACAGAAATTTAGGGCAATAGAGATGAACAGTCACCATCTTCGGAAAATTGAGAAGTGAGAAAACGGAATTGAGAAGTGAGAAAACGGGGAAATTACCTTGTTCTTCGGCGGTGCGATAGCCGGAGAAAATGACCGTTGAAGGAAGGAATTTGTTAGGTTGAGCGCCATTGCTGCGGTTGCGATGAAGAGAGGATAAGTGGGAGGAAGAACAGATGGGGAGATGAGTTCCTCTTCACTCGCTTTTCTATTTTGGGCCTTCCAGTATTGGGCCTTAAACTTTGACCCTGGGCTTCAATGGGCCTAACCATCAACCTGAAAGATATTTAAACATTAATAATTTAGTTGGATTAGTTGAAATGAATTAATTGGATAAAATGAAACATTTATTAGTCATAATTTTTTTCAGAAGATAATAAATCTCAAGGATGAAATTTTATTTTTTTTAGTTATTAAATTAATGATAATAAATGATTACTAAATAATGCTCATATTTATGATTGAGTTAAAATAAAAAAAAAATCGAAATAAAATATAATTGAAAATTAGTAATGGCCGCATAAAAGAAAACTTTAGGTGTTATTTGATTTGATGGTCACGTGATCTCCACTGTCTTAAATTTGTGGAGAATATCAACCGTCCATTTCGTTTGAAATTTGTGGTCAACAATTTATATTCTTCCTCTGTTTCTGATTTTCTATATAAATGTCGTGACTGTGGGCCGTACACCTCACAGTACAGGCTACCGGGTCAACAGTTTTAATGCAATTTTTTTTGGGTAAAATTTCAAGCAAAAGTTTTCTTTAAAAAAAGTCAGTTTTTTATTTGTTAGTTAGATGAGTGTTTTTTTTTAATTTTAAATTGTTAATTTATTCCCAAAAATTTGAATTTAATTAATAGAAAATTGGATCAAGAAATTGCGAAAAAATTATTCATTTTATGAATATGGTCAGGGATTCTTCAAGTTATAATGAAAATTAAAAAGAAAAAAAAAAAGCTCAATTTAATTTCATAAATTAAAATTTTTCAAGAACAAATAATTTCAAAGGCCAATCATATTCTTTCTTTTTTTAATTATTTAAAAAAGAAAAGAAAAAAGAAAAAAGAAAAACTATTTGTCACAACAGATGAGTATAAGAGGCCAAGAGAAATGCTGAGCTGACGAGTTGGTCCGGACTCGGCTCTTTTCTGTGAAGATATCGTTAGTTAGAAAAGATCCGATATATTTCTGATTTTTTTTGTTCTGTGATTTACTCAGCATATTCAGACTAGCTAATCGGAGAACGTACCTTTTCTTGATCTCCAGTTGATCGGACAATGGATTCGTTTGGCGTGACCTTGAAGGCCGATAGCATTCCATTTCGAATCAGCGGTCAGTGTGGTTGGAATCAACGTTCCGTGCTCTGGGGAGAGAGTATTCGAAGATGCAAACAGATGCAGATGAATGTGCACCCGCGGAATAATCCTTCTTCTCAGACCTGCGCTACAAAGCTTAAACCAGGAGTTGCTCATTCTGTTCTCATGTCAGATATCGATGAGGAAGCAATGGTACATCGATATTGTTGATATTCATAAGAGTATGAACTTTTACAGGAATTTTGACTCCAAATTTGGTCTCAGATTTTACAGGCTCCCATATTGGAGGCTCCAAGAGCTGATCCGAAGAAGGTCGCTTCAATCATTTTGGGCGGAGGTGCTGGAACTCGCCTGTATCCTCTCACCAGCCAGCGATCCAAACCTGCGGTAATTTCCTCTTAACAAATCGCTAATATCTTGAAGGATAGCTGCATAACCTTGAAAGCATTGTTGATTGGGGGAGACGTTTAGATGGTTATAATAGATAAGAAGCCATTGATCCAACACAGGATAACGAATTAGTGCACGACTTGCAGGTTCCAATTGGAGGTTGTTATAGGCTGATCGACATACCTATGAGCAATTGCATCAATAGTGGCATCGAAAAGATATTCGTTCTAACACAGTTTAATTCATTTTCTCTCAATCGTCACCTTGCTCGTATTTACAATTTTGGAAATGGAGTGAATTTTGGCAATGGATTCGTGGAGGTATCATGACTGTTCTTCCCATTGTTACAATCTATACCCCTGCTTAGCATTTGTGTTAATCGAGCTCAATTTCCCGATTCATGTTTGAGACACACAGGTTCTAGCTGCCACTCAGACTCAGGGTGAAACCGGAAAGAAGTGGTTCCAAGGAACTGCCGATGCTGTCAGGCAATTTATATGGTTATTTGAGGTGGGCCCATAAGATCAGCTTTTTCAATGTGTAAAGAACGTTTTGACCATTGGGTTTCTGCAGGCTGCTAAGACCAAAAATGTTGAAAACATTCTAATTTTGTCGGGCGATCACCTTTACCGGATGGATTACATGGATTTTGTGCAGGTATAATGTTAAATCATAGCTAGTTTGTAGTTGTTCGTATCATTTTTTTGCACAAATTTTTGTTTTCGTTTGATTCATTGGGGCTTTCTGGTTGTTTTGAACGTGCAGAGACATATTGACACAGATGCAGATATTACAGTATCATGCATACCAATGGATGATAGGTATGCCTTTCTTTCGTCGTGGCCGCCATGATCTTATGATTATTATGATTATATTCTTAAACTCTTAGATATCCATTATCGCTTCGGTATTTTGCAGCCGAGCATCAGACTACGGTCTCATGAAAATAGATGATACAGGACGCATTCTACATTTTGCAGAGAAACCAAAGGGATCTGACCTGAAAGCAATGGTTGATAACATTGATGCAATTAGTTTATGAGTCCTGTTCCTATGGGGCGCCAAATCTTTGTCTGATTTTGTTTTCAATCCATCATATATTATACTGCAGGAAGTTGACACGAGAGTTCTAGGACTTTCAGAACAAGATGCAAGAACAAATCGTTATATTGCATCAATGGGAGTCTATGTATTTAGAACTGATATTCTACTAAAGCTTTTAAAATGTACTTATCCCTCATGCAATGACTTTGGCTCAGAAATTATTCCATCGGCTGTTAAGGACCACAAAGTTCAAGTGAGATCCATTTAGATAAAGTTTTGTGTTTCATGAAGAGGAAGGCTTTTGGTGATAATAGAACTACGTTCCCCAATTGTTTCAGGCATATCTATTCAATGACTACTGGGAGGACATTGGAACCGTGAGGTCATTTTTTGATGCCAACTTAGCTCTAACGGAACAGGTTGTATCCAGCTTTCATGCTTATTCTCAAGTGTAATGAATGCAAGGTCTTTCTCCTAACACAAGAAAGTAGTTACTTAAGCTGATGATTAGTTGTGTCTTTTCATGCAGGGCCCGAAGTTTAAGTTCTATGATCCAAAGACTCCATTTTATACATCACCTAGATTCTTGCCCCCTTCCAAAGTTGAGAAATGCAGGGTAAGATATGGAACTCAAATTTGCTCTCTGCATCATCCGTTTGATTCTTGTATAACAAAAGAAACTGTATTTGCAGATTGTAGATGCAATAATATCTCATGGTTGCTTTCTCCGAGAATGTAATGTTGAACACTCCATCGTTGGTGTGCGCTCTCGATTGGAGTACGGTGTGGAGCTTAAGGTGAGCCATTCCCTCCCTCCCAAAAGGATACAAGAAGACTAAATGCAGTTTCAAAAGCTGGTTGGCTTAAACTTGAACTAATAAGAGAACTGGCCATGCTGATTTGTGATTGTATAGATATATTGCTCCGAATTAAATTCATAGCAGCTGTTTGTTACTTGCTGTTGTCACATAATTTCATGTCCTGAAAAACCTTTATAATGTTTGGATTGGTTGGTTTTGCATTCTAGGATACTATGATGATGGGTGCGGACTACTACCAGACTGAATCTGAAATTGCATCTCTGCTTGCCGATGGAAAGATCCCAATTGGCATTGGAGAGAACACCAAAATCAGGTAATATGCAAAAAAAAATGCGAGATCCCATATCTGTTGGATAGAACAATGAAACATTCCTTATAAGAATGAGAAAACCTCTCCCTGGTTGACGCGTTTTAAAATCTTGAGGGAAAACCTAAAAGCTTGGAAACATCCTTAGAACCTTGAGGGGAATCCCATAAAGGAGAGTCCAAAGAAAACAATACTAGGCTTGACTATTAAATGATGCAACCCTTTTATTAGTTAAATATAACCATTACTTTATTATCTCTCACTGATTATCGTGAAATTATTCGGATTCGATCTTGTTTCTGACTCTTTGCAACTTCAGGAATTGCATAATTGACAAGAATGCCAAGATTGGAAGAAATGTGGTTATTGCAAATACTGAAGTAAGTATAAATTTTATACTCTTTAAGGATGTTTGGCTCGTAGTTTTAATACGTTAAAGTTTAGGAAGTTTAAATTGTTTTTATCTGTGGTTGAATTTGAACAAAGAAATAAGCAACAAAAACCTGAGTTTGGTTCAAGAGCTTATTGTATTCTAAGAATTTGCAAACTCTCCAAATTATGAAGCTATATGATAATGGTATCTGTGCTAAACAAAGCGCGCTTGTAACTTTTTCAGGGCGTTCAAGAAGCTGAGAGACCAGACGAAGGATTTTATATAAGATCCGGTATCACAGTCACATTGAAGAATGCGAAGATAAAAGATGGAACCATTATTTAAATTCCAATGGCAGCAGCCTTGTGGTAGTCAGGCCAAGAGATAGGTGAGGGTTGAAAATGAAGCAATTGCTGGAGGTTTGAAACCTACAATTCTCAGCAATGAATAATTGGCGTAAATACTTAACTTCTTTTCTTTATGTAAAATGTAGAAAGCCAAAATATTTCCTAAGACAACTCTTGATTTCAATCCTTATATCACAAGGCACCACATTCAGTATTCAAAGCCATTTAACCATCAGCTTTTGGATGAGCAAAAACTCTCATTTCTTAACCTCACAACTTATATTAAGTAGTCAATATTTTGCTTAATTTCCAGGACTGTTGTTGCCTCCCTTTAAGGCCTTCTCCCACTCTGCTCTTCCCATCTCCTTTGCTCTCTTCAACTTCTCAATGTTCCTGAGTCTGGCATACATCTTCCTGATGCGAATCAGCCTCTTAGACTCCTGAGATATCAAATTAGCAGTCGACGGGTTCTCGCTAAGTATCACTTCGTACCCGTCTCGAAAAGAATCCATTCCTTCAACTAAAAGTTGCCAGAACAATCCGCCCACAGCTGCACCGCCGCCTCGAGCGGAGGAGTACACAGTTGAATAAACAGCATTGTAAAGCTGATCCCTTTGATCAGAGGCTGAGTTCTTTGTAGATTTCCCAAACTCAGCAAAGAGAACTGGCTTGTGCAGAATGTTCTGTGCATCTTGGATGTGTTCATTGAGCCAAGTGTCTAGGAATGAGAGCTGATTCTGATTAGTTGAACCAGTAAGCCTACAGACATCAGTAGAAATCACCCATTTCATTTCTCCTAATGGATTGAAGAAGTGAAGAAGTGAAGTGAAGTGAAGAAGGGGAGGAGCTTTATTGTTACCATTGATCAGGATATGAGTGGACTGTGGCAAAGTCGATTTCAGGTATCTGATTGTTGGCAATGAAATCAGTTCCCACTTGAAAGTTTGTATTCCCTTGATTCCTTGATTGTCCATAGAACCCTTCCAAACCAGCTTCTAATAAGTGCTTCCCATCTATTGATTTCAAGTATGAACCCATTTCTCTAATCCACGCCTGCCCCATTATTTCATACATCAAACCTCTTAAACATATAGACTCACGATTTTAAAACGCGTTTATTTAGGGAGAGGCTATCGCACCCTTATAAAGAATACTTCGCTCCCTTCTTCGACTAATGTAAAATCTCACCAACCCTTTAAGGGCCTAGCATCCTCGCTGACACACATTAGTTGGAGAGGAGAACAAAGCATTTGTTATAAGGGAGAGTGTGGATTAGTAGTTCCCTTCTCCAACCGATGTGGGATCTCACTCACCCCCTTAAGGCCCCAGCGTTCTCACTGACACATTAGTTGGAGAGGGGAACAAAGCATTTGTTATAAAGGTATGGATTCGTTCCCCCTCTCCGACCGATGTGGGATCTCACTCACCCCCTTAAGGCCCCAGCGTCCTCGCTCGCACACATTAGCTGGAGAGGGAAACAAAACATTTGTTATAAGGGTGTGAATTTGTTCTCCTCTCAGACTGATGTAGGATCTCACCCACCCTTTTAAGGGCCCAACGTCTCTGGCACACATCAGTTGGAGAGGAGAACGAAAAATTTGTTACAAGGGTGCAAAACTCTCCTAAACTTGGACAATATATATTAGCGATGAGCTTTAACTAAGAAAAGGAAAATCTAGAGAGAACCTGAATTGTGTTCCCCGAAGGATCTGAAAGACACCTAGGCTCGTTCATGAGTTCCCATGCCATTATGGTTGGATCATCTTTATAAGCTACTCGGGTGAAGCTGTTGATTCTTGTCAAAATGCTCTAATATACAATATGCATTCAAACAAAATTATCAATATTCATAAATTAAAATCCATAGATTAATATAAACTTTTTGCATATTAACTTTCCAAAATGATTATTTCAAAATACACACTAATATTATTAATTTTAAAAACACCTTAAATATTTTAAAAAGAAAATAAAAAATATTTTTACATCGAAAAGTTTTGATATAATCTATAAGATATCAATAAAAGATTTGGATTTTTTTAAAACTGTTTTTTTATAAAAGTAAAGGGTTTCTAGAGTTGAGTAAAAGTAAAAGTAAAAAAAAAATCATAATTACTCCCCTCTGTAAATGACCTGTTAAAATCATTCCCAACCACTCCAACCAGCCGTTTCATTTTCACCAACCCCGCACAAACAAACCCCTTTCAAAGCCTCAATCAACGAAACAAAAGCGAAAAGGATGATGGGTTTGTGAAATTACCTTAATATGATTCTTGTACAGCCCTTTCACAACAGGGTTACTGAAGAAATCATCATCCGATGATATGGACTGCCCCTCATCCCTCGCCCACTCCACATACTGCCTTTTCCCTCCCATATTCTCATAGTTGTTCACCAAACTCAATATCAATTTAATCCCATATTTCCTCGCCTCCGACACCGCAAAATCCAAACCCTAACAAAACCATGTCCCATTCAGCATCAAACACAGACACTACAACGCAAAAATCAAAGCAATCGGACCATTTTCTTCACCTGAAACATCTTCTCATTGTAGCTGCCGGGAGAGTACTGCAAAGGGCTGTCTCCGCCGTCGCTGAAGGCCCAAGTTCTGCCAATGGAGAGCCCATGCTTGACGGCTTCTTCAAAAGCAGAGGAGACCTTGTTTCTCTGCGATGGGTCTGACCCGACGTACATTAGCCAATACGCATTGAACCCATTGGCGTAAAATGGGCTTCCCTTCAGTATCAGTTGCTGCCCTCTGGTACTCACGAACCCATCGTCTGCTTTGGCTCGAACCAGAACCAGAACCAGAACCAGAACCACCAAAACCGGACTCCAAAGCTTCATCTCTCTGTTGTGGGTCTGCTAAGAGTGAAAGTGGAATGGGGTTGTCATTTATTAAGAGCTTCTAGGGCGGCCTGGAAAGTGGAGAGCAGGCCCTCTTCTCAACTTTAACTGTCCGCTGTTTCTTTATTATTTTCTTTTCTTATCAATATTTTCACGGTTATGTTGTTGCCATAAGAGGTCGTGTTGTGGGCCCCCCATTAATTTTAGGAAATAATTGAATCCCCATCTTTCTTTAAAAATAAATTTAAAAAATCCCACAAACGACGAATCATTAACATTTAATAATATATAAACTATTTTTTTTAAATTATAAGAATCAAATTTGTAACATAACGTAGTTTTTAAAATTTAATATACATATTTGACTTTTAATCGAATTTATATACCTTATTAAATTTAATAAGAGTTTAAGTGAATTTGATCTTATTTTTAAAATAGTGGTTTTTATTTATTTATTATTTCCTTATTTGGACTAAAAAGAAAAATATTACGTTAAACTTAATTTCAATTCATGATTTTTTTTTTTAATATATGTATATATCATTGGGTTAGGTAATAGAGTGTGGGAGTGAGCATTTTATTTTATTTAAAATGTAATATTGTAAATTATTTATTTTAATGAGAAAAAGATTATTTTTCAGAAAAAAGGCAGCCATACACGTGGCAATATTACATTTGTGGCTGAGAGGGATTTGTGCGATTGATTGTATGGTACGAAAAGAGAATGATAAATAAAATCGTAGCCGATTTTGTACAATAAATAAAAAAAAATTAAAACATCATAATCTGAGGATTATTAAATTATTAAAATGGGAGAACAAAAGGGTAATAAATATGGGTGAATCGGCTTTCACCGCTCAAATCGGGACCGATTACATTCAGCCGGAGACCGGTTGCCCGTTCTTTATTGCAGATCCGGGTCGGGTCGGGCGAGAGCAATTGTTTTTTTCAACGATTTTAATAAATATTTATTTGTGTGATTCATATTTGATTCGTGATAATTTAAAACGGTATATCTCGCCTAATAATAATAAATACCTCTAATTTTTATGCATTATTATGTTAGGTATTTGATTTTTAACCATGATTTTTAATTATATAATGATATATATATATATATTTATCTTTTGGTCATATGAACATCGAGATGAGCTAAATTGATATAGTATTGTTCTCTCTTGTGCTTTTTTTTCACACGTACGATAAATTTAAAGTTTTAATATTATATGTTTGAAATTAGTCGCTAGTTATTAGTAATTGGTTGGGAACTATCATGTTAAAACAAATTAAATAATATTGTATTATCAAGAATAAATCCGAGTAAAAAATAAAACAAAATAAAATAGCAACTTTTTATTAATTATTTTATACTCTAAAAAACAAAATAAATCGAAAAGTGTGTCTTTTTTTAGTTTGTTTTGTTCTTGAGAAATGTTATTATTATTTATTTTTATTTTTGATGTAACCAGTGACTATGCTCACTTTGTTGATTCCGAAGCCGAAAAGCCATAAACACAAACATGAATGAAGCATAGAGAAAGGTCATTTCTTGGAGTTCGCGGACAAATTTTTGAAAGCGATATACATTTCTGTAGAAAAAGGTTGAATACCTTGGAAAAGTGAAGAGTGTGAGAACCAAATCAATCGAGGCGAACGACATTGACGGATTCGAATTCTTGCATTGCTCGTTCAAGTGGAATTGATTGCTTAGCGAAACTTCCGATAATCCACCATTTCGTCAACAGCAATGGCAGCGATTTGCTCTCACTCCATTGTTCAATCGGAGAAAAGCGCCCTCCCGACTCACTTCTACTCCAGTAGGAGTTTTCGGCGATCGGTGAAATTTTCCGGCGGCCTTTCAGGATTTTCTGTCGCTTCTTCGGCTAGGTTTCCTGCTCGTTTTCCTTCAATCACTTGCCAAACCTCTGCAACTTCCCCTTCTCCGGTTGTATCAAAAGGTGTATGTATGTCTCCGATTTAACTTCTTGTTTGCGATATTATTCCTATAATTTTCATTTCGACAAAGGTTATTACGGTTCTTGCTATGACTTAGAAGTTAGGGCTTATGGACTGTGAGTGTTGGTGATATTTATATTGCTCTATCGCTGTTATTATGTGGTTCGTGAAGTTGGATAAGTCGTACTTATCAGACGGTGTATACGCCTTTCTGTGTGCATGGTATCTATCTGTTTGGATGGTGCTCTGGTAAATGCGAGACGTGAATAAATTACTCTTGAACTTGAACCAACTGATTTTTGACGCTGGCATTGGCGATATGCGATGGCTGTCTCACTGGCTTGAGAACAGACTATAGTGCTTTTTCCGTCCACTTTCTCAGGGAACAAGTTATTGGAAATGCAAGCAATTCAATGAATCGACTGGTGTATGCTTTTAGTTGTCTGACTATTCTTTTTTGTATTGTTTATCAGTGAAAGCAGAGAAGAAGGATTTCCTTCACCTCAGTGATTTTGATAAATCCACCCTCATGAAGATCTTAGACCGTGCAATTGAAGTTAAGGCGCAATTGAAATCTGGAGATAGGACATTTCTCCCATTTGAAGGGAAGACAATGGCTATGATATTTGCAAAACCATCCATGAGAACCAGAGTTTCATTTGAGACTGGTTTCTTTTTACTAGGGGGGCATGCCATATATTTAGGGCCCGACACTATCCAAATGGGAAAAAGAGAGGAAACTAGGGATATTGCTCGTGTTCTGTCTCGATATAATGATGTCATCATGGCCCGTGTTTTTGGTCATCAGGTATGAGGGCCAATTTATTACCTTCTTAGTTCCAAGTGACAACATAATCTGAGATTTAATGAAGCAAAATAAGGGTGGTTGAGATTTCGGCTATTGATGGTGGCTTGTGAAAACCTTTTTCTAGCTAAATATGGCTTGATGATGTTTCTTTTATTACCTTATATTTCTTGTAAATAACCTTTTGACTGAGTTTTTCTAAATAACAAAAACATTGTGAAGCATTTGTAACAACTGCTTAAATCTTCTTCGCAGCAGACCCGTACTAGTTATTATTTCAGCTTTTACTTGATACAATAATCAAAGGAATTGAAGTTTTCTTGACATTTCTTTTCTGATAGATAGCTATTTTGAATTATTCATCTATGATTGAGTGAAGTTTATGTATCTGTTGGGATGAAGTCACCTGTTTACAATGTTGTCTGGATTGTGGAACATTAAGGTGGGAACCATTGGCCTGTTAGCATCATTTTATATACAAAACTACAGTCATTTAGACACAAGTTTACTGTGATGTGTATCTATTCACGTAGGCATGCTAAAACTATCATTGGTAAAATACCGAACACAGCTAGAAATGGCTCCACCATGGGATGGACGTGTGAGGAGGAAGTAGTCTTATATTTAAACTTCTTTTCTCTTTGGTGGGTTTCTATTTGGGAAAATCAATAGCAAATTGAAGGCCAAGTACTCCTAGCTATCCTAAGAAATAAGGGAAAAGGTGTCGAATTTCAAGTTAACTGGAATGTAAGCAATCTTGCCATATACTTGTGGACTGTGATTTCTTCTGTTTCATTAATCCGTTGCAATGATTAATAGTTCGGATGTCTCTCTACTGGTCGTCATACTATCATTTTGTTGCAGGATATTCTTGATTTAGCAAAATATGCAACCGTGCCTGTAATAAATGGCCTGACGGATTACAACCATCCTTGTCAAGTAATGGCTGATGCACTCACTATGATTGAACACATTGGCAAGTTAGAAGGAACTAAGGTTTGGTTTTCCTCATTTGTGTTTCGTTATAGTAGAAATAAAATATACTTCCGTTATATGTCTCAAATGAATTGAGCGGATGATGATGAAAATTTAGGTTGTGTATGTTGGAGATGGAAATAACATGGCGCACTCGTGGTTGTTGTTGGCATCAGTTGTGCCTCTCCACTTTGTTTGTGCCTGTCCTAAAGGTTTTGAGCCGGATAAGAACACAGTTGAAAAAGCCCGGCAGGCTGGAATTAGCAAGATTGAGATTTCCCATGATCCCAAGGAAGCAGTGAAAGGCGCTGATGTTGTGTATTCAGATGTCTGGGCAAGTATGGGACAAAAAGAGGAGGCTGAATATCGGCGTAAAGCGTTTCAAGGCTTCCAGGTACTTGTTGAAGCATTTTCTTTCTAATGAATGCACTTCGAGCTAATTAATTTTGTCGATGAAGATGTTACTAAAAAAAATTGTTATTGAAGATCGACACTCTCTGATGGTCCGGCTTGTTATTGAATTATCTGAGCTTGATCTTTCATGCTATTACTTGGGATGGAAAGTTTAGAAATAGCCTGTTGTCTACACTTTTTCTGTGCTGAATACCAAATGGTTGGTTTGTGCTGAAAAACTGTAGTTTCATTCCGATGTTTGTTGCACAACAAACTCTCTGGCCAAGTATATGCCTTCCCGGACCCATCCAAACTCGAACCTTCCCCTTCCAAACATCCCATAGTTAATTACTCCAGGTTGTCCTCCCTCTGCATTTGTGATCTCTCGGATTCAATGATGAAAACTTCCCCAATGAATTGTAATGGTATAATGTCCGATTCCGGGGAACTTAGCTTAGGTTACGAGAAGGATTAGATAACTACTCATGTCGTGGTTCTTCTTCCACTCCTATATTGAAACTGTGATGTGTTCTGTGACACTTAGGGACCATATGCAAGACTAATCATTTGACAAAAACAATGGAGAGCACTGGTCGTAGTTATTTTTTGATCTTTGGGATGCATGTGGTATACCTCATCAGAGCTGCAATGACATTGTTTGCGTTATTGATACAGGTTAACGAAGAGCTCATGAATTTAGCAGGTTCAAAGGCTTATTTCATGCATTGCCTACCAGCAGAGAGAGGCGTAGAGGTGACAGATGGGGTAATTGAGGCTCCCAACTCCATTGTCTTTCCACAAGCTGAGAACCGAATGCACGCACAGAATGCTATAATGCTTCATGTTCTTGGCTTATGATTGTGTCCACCACTTAATGGAAAATGCCAATGCATGTTTCAATAATAGTATGGCTGAGGTTAGCTAACTTATGATTCTCTACCATTTTTTGTACTGTCTTGTTTTTGCAAACTGGAACCTACTTTTTGCAGTACAGTTTTAACTTTTGCAGCTAGTGTTTGTCATAGCCGCGAGCTCCGTTTTGCAATTCTCGTCTAGTTTGATCGTATATTTAATAATTAATCCTTTTTTTAAAAGAGAAATGGTCTAGTAGTTTACATAGGTTATGTGTAAAATATAAGGTGCGGCATCTTTTTAACAATTGGTCACGTTAGCAATAGTATACAATAATTGACAGATAAATAAGGTTATAATTTTGATTATCCACATTTGTTGAACTAAAATGATCAGATATAATTATATATATATATATATATATATATATATATATATATATATAAGATTGACAGTCAACTTACACTTCCAATATTGGTTTTTGTGACCAAAAGGTCTCTCGATGACAGATCGAAAGAATTGTGTGGCTTTTCCCATCATAACTACCATAAAATGATATGCAATGGTTACAAACATGATAATGCTCATGCAATTATAAGGAAATCTAGGTTGATCGACTGCGTTATAATCGTTCCTCCATGTTGAACTTGTTCCAAGCAGCCTGTTGATTACAGATTTGGAGTTAGCAACTTTTGAACTCAATTGCAAATCTAAATAAAATAGACTCCCGCTGTGAATTTATTTTAAAACCTATTATGATTTAGAATCGCTTAAACTCAGAAATAATGGTCTCAAAAATAGACTAAATGATCACCTAAAAGACTGGATTTAAATTGCAAGTCTCAAAAATAGACTAAATGATCACCTAAAAGACTGGATTTAAATTGTAAGGGCCATAGACTAAATGATCACCTAAAAGACTGGATTTAAATTACAAGTCTCAAAAATAGACTAAATGATCACCTAAAAGACTGGATTTAAATTGTAAGGGCTTTTGGGGCTGGTAACCATTAGAACATGTTCGTTCCAAAGTGATTTTAGAATGACCAAAAAAATCACTAAAAAGGGCACGAAGAAAGTAATCTTCATCGTAACAAAATCACTTTCAAGCATGTTCCAAAATCACTTTCAAGCATGTTCCATGTTCGTAATTCTTACTTGTAGCTCAATAATTTTTACCAAATTCCTAATTTAAAAAATAACAAACATAACCCAAATACCAATATAGGTTCATTCAAGTAATAAATTTAGCACATACCTTCAAAAGATCAAAAACCTTCTCGCATACGTACTTTTGTGGAATGCTTGCACCCCGTTGCTGCAATTTGTCAGGGTGGACCGAAAGAGTTGCCCTACGGTAAGCTTTCTTGACAGCAGCTGTCGTGATAATATCTGTTAGAGGGACTGGCTGCCACCCACTGTCGGGCCCGAGGATCTGTCAACATAATAAGCAGTTAGGTTCTGATCATAACATCAAAATCAGAGAATAACAATAGGGCGCTCAATTTTAGCTTACATATTGTAGAGTTGAAAGCAATGCACGCAGATTTCCCTCCTTCCCACTTGACCACCGTTTAACTTCAGCATCTAGACCTTCTGCTAGTCTCTGTTACAAACAGAAGATATGGGCACTGTTAGACGACCTATCTCATAAAATACTAACTTACTCCTCCAAACTGTTAAGACGTGTAAATTACATTTCTCTCTTCCTGTTCTCTCTGTCCGAGAATGTCACGAATATTCTTCTCTGCAAGAGCATTCGCCTGAAATGGAACAGAAAAATTGAATAAAATGTGGCCATCTGCAATCAAATTCTGGATAGTTCACAGTTTGAACAGAACATACCACACGCTCAACCGTTCGTTGATGCCTCTCCAACCTGGCTTTACTTCTCTGTGCAGATTCCCCAGCAGATCCCACCTCTCTCTCTGACGCGTCGGGACCTATATATCGAGTGACAAGTTGTTCAGAAACCACGGATAACAGTCACCGGAACAAAATAATGATCCCTCCATTTATCAAGTTTTCATACTGATAATAGCTAAATCTTTAAGCAGTTTGGCCAGAAAGTACTTAAAGCACATAACTCACCTCCAAGGTTGAATGAATTCGCATGCCTGAAATTGCTGGAAGAACATTGGCCTTTTGGTTGAGAGTCCTGAATGTAAGTGCTTTTCGATGTTAATCACAATCATGTGCCCCTTCAATTGTTTCATGGACAATAAAAAACATGGAGAGGAGGATAAAAAATAAAAGTACTCACATTAAATGAAAAGCTCTTCTTTACTTTACTAACTCCAGCTGCACCATTTAGTTTTTCGGCAACAATCTTGTCAGCCAGATTTCTCGCCTCGGAAATAGCCTTTTCGGACATAGCTTTTTCTAAAGCACGCTCTCTTGCCTCAGCAGTAGCCATTTCAACGGCAGCACGTTGAGCTTTTAATTTGGCTTCCTTTGAATGCTTTTCGGCAGAAGGCTTAGGATTTGCCTCAATGGAAGCCTTCCTTGGGCGTTCACGTGGCTCGGCCATTACTCTTCGACGAGTGTCAGCAGAAGCTCTCTCGGCAGCAGCCCTCTCTCGGGCTTCTGCAAATGCTCTTTCACGAGCCTCACGAATTGCTCTTTCTACAGCTAATCTCTCCCTCTCTCTTTCCTTTCCTTTTGCTTCATCAATTTTTCTCAGCCGATCCTTTATCACTTCAGCATCTTTCTCAAATTTCTCATGGAAGACCTTCTCCTCCTGCATTAATTGGGGCGCTTGATGATTCTCCCCATTTTCTAAGATACTTTGATTTGTTGAGTTCTCAGCCAACTCCTCTTTAGGTTGAGGCAAACCATGAGCTTCTGTCTCATTGTCGAATTTGGATTCAATCCCTGCTTCTCTCTGCATGTCAGCATTAATTTCTATTTCACCCATTGTTGGGGTTGTTCGATGATTCTCGTTTTCTGTTACCTTCTGGCCAGTACTAATCTCCTGTTCTGTATTTTCTAAATTTTCTTTTCTTCCTGAACTTCCAGGCGAATCAGCTTCCTCCGAAGTTTCCAAGTGAACTGCGTATTCCAGCTCTTTGTCAGACGTGTCACTAGCTTCCATTTCATCCTCTGTCATAATTACTCGATAACTATCCTCACTTTCTCCTCGAGTTTCACATGTTTTGATGTCATGAACTATTTCCGAGTCCATGTCAATCATGCCAGATTGACTACTGGTTCTAATATTGTTCTCATCAAATTCCAACTGCATTTCATTTTTCAAAACATAAAAAGTTTCACTTTCTTCTACTTCGATGGTTGCTTGATGGTTCTCAGTTGCTCCTGTATTTGCGGTTTTCTCCACTACCTCTTCACTGATTTTGTTGTCATCTATCTTTATGCTAGGTTGGTTACCTGCTTCAGTATTATTTACATTACTAGGTATCTCTTCTTCATTTGAATCGTCATCATTTTCTTCAATAATTGAAACTTCAATTTTCTCCATATTTCTCTCAATTCCTCTAAGTTCAGAAGCCATACCTTCAGCATTTTCCAAACTGCAAAAGATTGAGGACCAGTTCACAGATGCATCATGTTGCATTTGCTCTAATTTCAAATCGATTAGACCAAAATCTAACCCACTTTGGATTGAAATGGGGCTTGCATTTGAATTTTCCATTTTGACTCTACGTTTAAGTGCATCCTCTGCCATAGAAAACAATTTAAAAGGCAATCTCTCCTCCACGTCACCCTCCTCAGTAATTGCCTCAGGTTCATTATTCACAACTTCCAAGGCAATATTAGCTAACTCCATTGAATTATCAATATCCCGATATTCAGGCTGGTCGGTAATCACTTCTACCCCTTCCATACTAGCTATGAAATTATTAGCATCCTGATCTTCTGAGAGGTTATCACATTCATCCTGCTTACTTAAACCATCTTCTAGTTCAATTTTATTCTCAGTATTCAGATTGTCTGGCGTTGCTTGTACGATGTTCTCGTGTACTGCACATTCACCAATGTTTATTTGTCTTTGAACATGATGTCCAATCTCATTATTGCGCAAATGAAAAGGAAGCCCTTCAATCATCTCATCATCCCGTTTGTTTTCTTGAAGTTCTTCATTTCCTTTTGATTCAACATCTTCTAGCATGTCTTGAGCTTCTTCGCCATCATGGAAGACATTGTTACAATTTATAAATCCTTCCTCTTCGTTAGATTTATCTAATATCTTTTCAACATCATTTTCAATTTGGAAGGCATTTGTTTCTCCCTCTTTTTCTTCTTGTTGGCAGATAGGTCTATCTTTCTCCACTACCCATTGATGAGCCTTAACTTGGGTCTCCCTGTCCTTATTTACCCCCATCTCCCAGATTGAGAACTCCTCGTGATCTTCTGTTACTTGAAGTTCTTCCGGCAATTCCACACACTTTTCATGTTCTATGGATGCCTCAGCTTTCATTTCAGCTTCTAGCTGGTCTTGGCGACGTGTTATTTTATCTTCTTCCTTCCCAATAACACCTAGAACTGATTTTAGTTTGCTCATAAGAATGCCTTTGACTACACTTAAGTTTATGCCATTTTCCTCAGGCTCCTTAGTCTTATCGACTATTACCAAGTTATCACCATATTCTCCAGGATTCTCAGATGTTTCCTTTGATCCAATGTTTCCTTGCCATCCATATCTATTTGTATTGTCCTCCTTTCGAGGTTCCAGTCTTTTTGCCTCATCTTCATCAAAATGCCTAGGTTCATAAAATTGTTCTGTTGCATCTAATTCTTTTGCTTCTTCCTCCCTACAATCAACTTTTGTTGACTTCAATTCCACATAATTTGGTTCTATGGCATTTAAATTTTCCCTCACCGCTCTTTGAGTGATAGGACATTCTGCAGGTGATTTATCCTCCCTGCTATCAGCAATTTCTTCCTCTGAAGGATCCATTTTTCCATTGGTTTTACCAGCCACCTTCTCTTGGCGTGTGCTTACCTCCTTTCTCTCTTCAGGATTTAGGATCCTAGAAGATCTTGTTTTTTTATGCTTTTGAAGTTTGGCAGCTTTCTTTCTTTCCATCGACTCCTTGGCAATTTTTATACTTTCCTGAGCAGCATCAATTGCTTTTCTCAAAGCTGCAACTGAGGCAGCAGCAACTGGATTCACCTCAACTTCCTCCCCAAAATATGAAGGTGAAGAAACGTCATAAGAATCTTTAGAGTGTTCAAAAGTTTCAGAATTTAAACCAGTTGTTTTTCCTGAAAATGCATCACTTCTACCAAATTTAGGCAGAAAATTATGTTTCAGTGGAGTTTCAGGTTTGTGTACCCCTTGATCCACCTCATATCCATTGAATAACTTATCAGCTGAATCTGATCTAAACCAGCCAGTTCTGTTTTGACGATTAGTAGGATTATTTGATCTAAACGTCTGTTCACTGTCACCAGAAATTGGAAGTTCTGGCTTATTTTCCACTTCATTCCCAACTTTTTCTGGGTGAATATCCTTCAATTTTTCGGATGTTGGCATATCAGTTACACACATCTGCACAGGAGATTGTTCATCAATTAAACATGAAAAACCTGGAATGGCCTGGGGAAGAGCTACATGAGCTGTCTCTGTCGCATAACTTTTGCTTCCTTGGTTGATCTTTTGATATGACACGCTGAACTTCTCCATTCTATCAAATGGAAGAGATGATGCTTCACGCGTGGAAAAATTATTCTCCTTTTCATACTGAGAAGAATTTTCTGTTGCTGCGGATCCTCTTCCAGCTGAAGTCCTACGATATAGCAACAATGTACAAAGTTCACTAACACAAATAAAATCACCATGTTCATTGTTCCTTACGGTTTGTTTCCTCTTGTACTCAGAAGTGAGAGCAACAGAAAGAGAAGATATCAAAACGACCAACAAAAATTACTCCAATCAAAGGAATCGCCACCAGAACGTGAAGATGAAATTGACAGCACTCATGCCTATGTAAGGGATGAAATGCAAAAAGGCAAGAGGCTCGCTAAGTGGATGCCTTTATATCAGCGATCCATTGTGGTCGTATCAAGAATTCCAAATCAATTCATTCGAACTTTAAACACCAAATATAGTCTGATCCAACAAACGTCCGTTTTAATTCTCCATTTTCACGAGATAGGCTTAACTCTACATAAATAAATTTCACTCTACCAACTCCCTCAACAAAATAGGGAAATGAATTGTGCGATACGCGAGAACATTGGAGGATATTTCGGAAAAGAAATTAACAGATTAAAAAAGGAGAAAGAGAAACAGCTTATTAAATGGAAATCGCTCCGCTAACAATGAATTTCTACAGTTTCAAAATAGCCTGCATATTAAGAAAACAGTAGCTTACCGAGTTTCCTTAGAAAACGAATTTGCTTTGTTTGCTTCGGCCAGAAGTTCCTCATAAGGCACGGCGAAATTTAACTCATCGAAACCGCCAAAAATCTTCGAGTATTCAACCTTCGAGCTACGAACATCTACCGGAAACTTCTTGTCGCTCACCGCCGGAACATCAAGAATCGGAATCGAGGAAACTCGCGAACCGCCAAAAATCTCTCTGTAGTCCTCGACTCGAGCCGAGAAAACCGGAGCCCCGTGCTTCGACGGAGCAGAAAAAACGCCATCGTACGTCGATCTATCGTTGAAACTGCGAGCATTTGAATATTTCTTGTAGACAGTCGACGAAGTTCGATACTCCATGGAAGAGACAGTTTCTAGGTTCGATTAGATTTCTCTGTTGTTTATTTTCTTCTCCCCGGTCGTTCTCTGCAAAATAGTTTACAGAGTCAAAGAAGAGATAATGAAGAAAGCGAGTGAAAGAAGTTGCCAAGAAAGAGGGCGAAATGAAATGCAGTCTGACGGTGAAGAGGCCACATACTTGCTGACTAAACAATGGAAGCGGTTGAGTCACGATCGGTGGCCGGCAAACTGTCCGGAGAAGGCGGTCGGCGACGGAGATAGGCCGAAGTCACTTTCCGTCATATGTGGAATTTAATTGGCTTTTCTACTGTCAGGACTCACCGTGGATGTTTGTTCTTGTTGAACGTGTTGCAAATCGCGCATATCAAAAACACACAATGGCAGGATTGTAATTACGCTCGTGACTTTCGAACCTTTTGGGAAAAGTGACAAATTTACTGTTCTTACCACCAACTCATCTATAGCTGTCAAAAATCTACCAAACGACGTCGTATCACAAATTAGTTTTCGTGTCAATTTGCTTTTGTTACCACTGTGCATTCAAGTGTGCACAAAAATATTTAAAAACAACATATTCAAGTGCAAATTAATTAAATCAATTTATTTTTTAAAAATGATTTCAATATTTTAAAATTAAATAACTAAATTTAATAAGCAAGATAGAGTTCAAATTACTTTAAATAGTTTATTTCTACAGTTTAAAATTAATTTATTGCATAAGGTTAAATTAATATGATTATTTAGTATTTTGTTGGATGAATTATTCTTACTAAATTTAAGATTTATTAATTCGTCTAAAAATATAAATAAATAAAACGGGTAAATTAAATGAAATCTTTTGCTTTTTGTATATAAGTGTTTCGTGGATTTAGGATGGAACATTGAGATTTTAAATTAACTAAAACTACCCTTTTACAGTTGCTTGCAAGCCGTATATACCTTCTTTCCCCCTTTATTTTATTACCTAAAGTTTTACCTTAGAGTCTTTGACTGGGCTGTAACTGTAATAACGATTTAAATTTACTGCAATTTAATTGCCAAAACAGCCGCATTCACGTATTTTTGTTTATTTTATATAACCAGTAATAACGTGGATGTGAATACATTTACTAACCGGTGACGTGCATAGTTGAAATTAATTCGGAAAAGTGAAACTGCACAACAATTAAATAATAATAATTATTATTATTAACAAATGCATTTAAAAATAAGATAGTTTAAATTAATTTGGCATGCAACCGCACGTTTGAAATGACTTTAGATATTGATTTCAGACTTTTTAATATAATATGAATATAAACCTATCGATTATTTATGAATTGTTGTAATTATTTAAATCAACCGTATGCGATATAGACGGGTAAGAAGTTTAAGTTGTAATCAATAATCCGAATCTATGTCTCCCTCTAAAATGTGAGAGATCAACTGAGAAGATGACCTATCGATGGAACCGTTGGGAAATAAATGGGCCCACTGGGCCTCTTCACTGTTAATAATAGTTGTCAATGATCCATTGGTTCAATTATCACCAACTTTTTTTTTTTTTTTTTTTTTTTTTTTTTTTTTTTTTTTTTTTTTTTGCCTCCTTAACGTTCAAATCGATAATTAAATATAAATTAATTTTTGGCTCCAAAAGTGAATATAATATAATATAAAAAGATTTTTTTTTTTTTAAAAAAAAAAAGAGAACTGCAATGAATTTAAAATACTAAAATTAAAAAAAGAGCGAAATAAATTATTACAGTTGAATCACAGGGAATAAGCTTTTCAATTTGAAATGTGTTAGTTTTAAGCTTATTACTTTAAAAATAACCATGATAATTTTTTTTTACCCACAAATAAATAAATAAATTATGCGTTATGGTTATACCTTATTATTTTAAAAATAAAAAATAAATAGCTATCAAACAAAGCAATTTTGCTTTATTTATTTTTAAAAAATTAAGTTAAATTTTAAAAATCAAGTAAATTGAGAAAAAAAATAATCCACATTTGTGAATCTTTGATAAAGTGACTGGAGAGTAGGGTAGGGGCGAGGGGGTCAGGCATGGGGTCGGGCAAGGGCAACACCCTTTGACCTCGGCTTGAATTTTAAAAAATAAGGTACGGGGTCACGCGCCTATGAATTGATTTAATAATGGGGGCTTCTGCCTCTCCCAATGTGTAAATTTAAAGCAATCAATAAAAGCAGAGCGGCAGTGGTTGGTGGGAATGGGCATCGGCATGGCTGTGCCCGTTTCAGCTTTTGTGTCCCTCATTTCCTTTTGACACTACCCGCCTCCCTTAATCATCGTTTCATTCTTAGGCCTTTTGAGATTCCAAATCATTTTTTATAAGGATATAAAAATCTATTTATTAAATACATTTTAGAATGTGAGATTGACGGGTCAATATTTATTAGTGTTGAATGATAAAAGTCTCACATCTGCTAATTTAAGGAATAATCGTGGGTTTATAAACAAAAAATACGATTAAGCCCTTTTGAGGAAGCTCAAAACAAAACTATGAGAGCTTATGCTTATACCATTGTGGAGAGTTGTGTTCGTGGACTGTTTCAAATAATATCAGACCAAACAGTGTACTAACGAGGATATCTACCACCTCTCTCTTGACAATATCTAGAAACAAAAGAAATTATGAAATAAAGAGGTAATGAGACTTAATTTTAAAATTTTTAAAGGGTATGAGTAATTGAGTATGATGTTGAATTGTTTATTTGACCATAATTTTGCAGCCATGCAGTTAGATTTGGATGGAACGCTTTCATTGGGATTCGAGTAGCCAATCATGTGCCAACTTTGAGCACCACACTGCTTTTTTATCATTGGAGACCAAAATCCTGCCTCATCTTTCTCTCTCTTTCGTGTACTCCAATTTGAGTCACAATAATTTCTTCTTCTTCTCTCCTTGCTTTTCTACACACTTTCGAGAGAGGGTATAACAAGACGATGGTTCGTGTTTACAATTGACATCAAATTAATCTACATTATCAGTATACTCGTCAAAATGAGAGACAATTGTGTAAAAATAGAGATTAATAAAATACCCTAAACAAAATGATACCATTTTGAACTGTCGTTAAATTCCATGTTTCCAAGACGATAAAAAGTGCGTATTATTCTTTTATGCTCATAATTATGATTATAAAATTGTGGCGATCTTGAAAAGCGTAGCTGCCTAAGCATGGTTTCCCTCTCCCTTAAGTTAGCGTCTACATTTTGTCGGGAAAGAAAGAAGGGGGAACAAAAATCGTTTACATGGGCCTTGTAACGCAATTTGTAGGGCCGAGCCCATAACTGGCAATCAGGCAGTCTGGACGTTGAATGGGCCCAAAGGCCCAACTGAAAGAATTTCTCTAATTATATTTAAATATATTTTCTGAGAAATATATATCTCATATATGGCAGAACAGATATGTTTTACTTTTAGAAAGCATTGATATTATTATTAGGGTACCCTATCCTGTCTTTTCTCATGACGTAGGCACGCACCTACTGCCACTGACCAGTACCTTCCAGAAAATACGCATGGCCTTCTTATTGGTGGGCCCCACAAATGTTTATTTAATATAATATTATTAATTATTTTATAATGTTTGGTAATGCTTATGTTTTAATATTTTTAATTATTGCATGGAATCGGGCCCCTTTCTTTCCTTCTCAGGCGTGTCACTAATACACCTAATCTACCTCATGTCGGGTAAATTAATTATTAAAAACATTTTACATCCATTAATTTAAAATTTATATGTGAGATATTATTAGGAAAATAAACACACATTATCTCAATATGAGACTGTATATATAAAATGTCTAATATTTTTACACAATCCTTCCACGTCATAAAATGATTTAAAAAATTAAAAAAAAATTATAAACTGACCACTCGAATTCAGAAGAATTCTAATATAATTACTCTACTTATTTTTTCTTTACATTATCGGAACACGTACAAATCCGACCGGGTTTTTCAAGCACCGACTCCACCACGACCAAGTCTGGAAGCCGCAACATTGGCCACGTGGAACTGCGAGACGTAGCTGTTGCCAGATCCTTCAATCACAGGCGGTTCGTTTAGAAATGCCCAGTTACTTCTTCTCCACCTGATAAAACCGCAAGTTTTTGTCATAAACCCTCATCTTCAAACATTCCAATTATCATATTGAAAAATAAAAAATAAAAACACTTATTTAATCTAAAATAATAATTAGCTAAAAATGGAAATCAATTAACTAAATAAATAAATAAATTACCAGCCATTTTTCTTGGGCTTGTTGTCTAAGCTAGCTTCAGACTCCATGTCCAATAAACCCTTCCTCGTATTAAATGGAGGCACAGAGCTTGATCGCTGAAGATTATTTCCACCAAATTCCACCTTCTTAATTTCCTGCCAAAAATAAATAAATAAATAAATAAACTCAAAATTACAACATAAAAAGTCAGAAACACAGTTGACTTAACCAGACCGTACCTCACAGCTCTGAAACGGACTCAAAATGGCTCTAAGATGTTCTTCATGCAACTGTTTCTTCGTCTTCCAAAAGGCTTCAATCTCTTCCTTCGTCAATGACTTGTTCCTCCGGTGACTCACTGAAAATAATTACAATTAATAATTTCATTTAAATTAAAAAAAAAAAAAAAACTAAAATAGAAATTAAACTAGCTTTACCTTCTTCTGGGTCACTCGCCGGAGAATCCCAACCCGCCATTAAAGAACCCATCTCTCAAAATGCAAGCTTTTCTTTTCTCTCTTGAAATTGCTGATAATCTGATATGGTTTGTTATTACGAACAAATATATATATATATATATATATATATATGAATACACAAAATTGGCGTCTAGCTAGCAGTGTGTCTTTATCTCTTGGCTCCGATCTTATCTAAAACTTTTTTTTAAATAATTATTTTTTTTAATGTTAATTGGTTGACAACGATAGGTTTCGTCGGTGTTTAGTTTATTAAATTTAAAAATCCGGATTTTTTTCTTAGAGCCCACAGATTTCTGCGCCGGTTTGGTGGGTTTTTGGCGTTGACTAACCTGAAACTAAGAAATGGAAGCTTCCTGACTTTGGTCATTGCTTATCTAAATACACGTTTACCTGATTCATCAGGGTTCCGTGCTGCTTTAATTTTGAAGCCCATGGGCGAAACAGGCCCAATTCGTTGTTTTGGGCCCATATTGTGGATCTGTTGATGGATTCTGGACCGATCAATGTGGGCCAAGCCCATGTTTGATGCGTGCTTAGTTGACTCATTTTCTAAATAATTTTGTAATTGATGTTAGATAAATAATTAATTAAATGTACTTTATTCCTCAATTTTACATAGCTATTGCTCTTATTAAAAATCAATTAAATTATTAATAAATTAGTTTAAAAATTAGTAATTTAAAGTTATACTTCTCATACAATCATATAAACAACCCAATTTATTTATATTTTCAATTTTGATATTTTTAGAGTCAATAAAAGTCTCGATATCATTATACTTAATAATATGATATATATAAATAATCAATTAGTGGTAATGATTTAATTATGAAAATATTATAAAAATGTGAATAATTGAACATAAATTGTGAAAAAATAGTCACATTAGGACAGCTATGTTAAATAATTAGTTCCATTAGATTGAGCAATTGAATCGGTGAATGGCGACAATGATAAAAGGATGGAAGGAAATCTATAATGGGTGGGCCAAGGGGACTGAAAGTGGAAAGGAAATAATGGGCCCAGCCCAATTCAAATCATACAAGAAGAAGCCGAGAGAATCGGGTTGGCCTAAAACGGTCACGAATTAATAAATTAATAAATAAATATATTAAATTACTATACATTATAGGTTAAAAGGGAGAGGACAGAAGGAAAATGGCTGCTTCCATTTTGATTTTGTGACGTCATATCTTTTTATGGTGCATGAAAATATATTTAATGTCGGATTATCATAATATATCCTTATTTTTTATTTTTATTTTTTGTATTCGCTTGGAGCTGTGTGTTTGTTTGGTTCACCTTCTAAACCCATACACAACATCGACACCCACCAAACCCTCCACCTCAAATATGGCTTCTTTCCCTCGGCCTTCTTTCTAAGTTCTTCATAGCTTTTATTTTTTTTAATTATTTACTATTTTGAAAATTTAAGAAAAAATCAAGGGTATTTGGATAAATTTAGGAATTATGAATATTATAATCTTTCTAAAATTAGATTAAAAATCTCTTACGTGGGGACCACACGGTCGAGGAGCCTCGTGGATCCTGATAAAATCAAGCTGGCATGCACTAGACCGGCCGGCTCAGTCTCACGTCGGTTAAAAACTAACATCATTATTATTAATAAGAAGAGTAGTAATAAAATAACAATAATAATAGTCGTGAAATTAATCTGACGTGGCGTACAGTAAGCACTGGCCTGCACGTGCAATTGTGGCTCCCTTTGCCACATTTCACGTACTTTGTCTATTTTCTCATTTATCAATTTTCAACTCAAATCTCCCCCTTCTTTTCCTTTTTTAACCTTTTCTTTTTTCTTATTTAATTTTGAAAAATATTTATGGGTTTTTTTTTTAAATATATATTTCAATATTATTCTAATTAAATTCAATCCGTGAGGATGAAAAATTGTTCCGTCAAATTAATCCAAGTTCTTTTTAGCATGATTTATTTATTATAAGTATTTAAAAAACTAAAAAAACCACTTAATATATAATTATTTCAAATCAAACCTAGTTTTTATAATAAAAGTGGTGTAATTATTAATTGTTTTAAATATGGGTAAATATTAATGAATTAAGTATGGGAAAGTAATACACGTGTGAATCAAGCATGGTCAATGATTGCATTAAACGAATCCATGGGTTCATTGAACACGAACCGGAACTGAGTGGCGTTTAATCAACAGTGGAGTGGGACCCAATAATTCAACGCATTGATGTAACTATTAACACCATTTTTATAATTCTCCATTTTCGTCCTTTTACACTATAATTTTTTTAAAAATAGACTCTAAAATTAGAAAATGATTGCAATTGGTATCTTTCATTTAAATTTTGCTAATTCATCCATTAATTAAAAAAAATCTTTAAAATTCTCAATTTAAATGAAAAAAAAAATATAAATTAAAAGGCTATGTATGGACATGGATGTAGACGTGAGATGTGAGAGTGTAGGCAAAAACTGCTAAATAAGTAGTACCAAACATGTTCTAACGAGCTTCGACATTCTTTTGTTATTTTCAATTATAAAATTCTTCCCTAATAATATGTTATTGTAATTAAATTTATGAAAAATTTAGAGTTTATTAAATAAAACATTTCAAATTATATAATATATTTATTATTTTAATAATAAAAAAATTGTTAGGTGTCTATTCAATACAAAATTAAATGTTTAAATATCTACTCTTAAAAAAATGGATAACATCTGAAGTTTAAAAATTATTAAGGTTGGTATGAAATATATAATTTAAGTGTAAAATTAATTGGAAATGTGTTCTAAAATAGGGAGGTGTTGTAAATAAAATTCAAACTTAGAGAAAAGAATATTAGACCTTTTTTTGATTTAATAAATTAAAATTTAATATTCTTAACCCTTAAATCGATGTGAAAGACACATTATAATTTCAAAATTCTAAATTCACTACTTTAAGACCGATATTTTAAAGAGTATATTTCACTTGTCTGCTTCTTAATATTATATTATAAATTTATTAAAATATTATTCATTTTATGATTCGAAAATATGTTTCTGACCCATTTGTGCAATATATTATTTTAATAATGCAACTTCACGTGAGCCCGGGGCATGGTATGTAATTACAAAGAACGTGCATCAGACTTCCTACGGAGAGACTACCGTAGGTAAACGTGGACCTCACCTCTTTACTCCAATTAGAATGTTACATCAGCAAGTGAAATAGGGAACACGGATATTTTAGAGTGAGCGAGCACAGAGGAGAATTGACCCACGAGTTTAATGGACGAGAACCTTGGAACGGGTTGGTTAAAAAAATGTTTAATAAAATGACGATGAGGATTTGAGATTCGCAGGAACGAAAATCGAAGAGCTCTGTTGGTGACCCTGGCACTCGCCGTGACGGAGGCGGCAACGGCGACGCGGTGACGACGGAGGAGACGACCTTGTGTTGCGGAATCACAGAGGCTTTAAAAGAAATTGCGGAATCACAGAGGCTTTAAAAGAAATTTTGGCCAACTTTTTTGTTTCAAATCTTAGCCTCTTCGCTCTCTCTCTCTCTCTCTCCCACTCACTCTCTCTTCCTTCAAAAGCCGTCTGCAACTTCCGAGACATTGCTGCCTATTCGATTTAAAACGGGAATTCAATCCATCAAAATCTTCCGAGATTCACAGGATCTCTTGGATATTTGTTTCTCTCGCGGCTTTCTCCGCTGCCTGTTCTCGTTTTTGCGGTACGTGTCTTCATCTCTTTGCCTCTTTGTTTCTTCATCGAATCGTTTCTTTTTTCAGTTTCGGAATGAATTAGAAATGTGAGGAACGCGATTGGAGTCATTCGGATTTTACTTCCGTGTCGTTTGATGAGTGTTTCTGTTTATTTTACATGTTGAATCTGTTATATCAACGAGGCTTCTCATGTAGAATTGATGATTTGAATGTATCATGCGTATTTGTTGCCGTTTTCCGTTGAGTTTATCTGAGATTTGAATCGAAGTTTTTAATCTCAATGGCGTCTTTGTGTAGTGAGGCGAATACTGCTATGACGATGCCTATGAGAGGCATAATTAGCGAGCAGAGTGAAATACGAGAAGGCAGTGGGAATTCATCGAGAAAAGTGAGGGAGGGAGTTCAAGTGCGTCATCTCGGGAAGTCGCATATTGTCCCTGAGCAGCCTTCGTCATCTTCTCCGGTTCCGATTGAACAGAGCCGGTGGGCGAATTTGCCGCCCGAGCTTCTATTGGACATAATTCAACGAGTGGAAGCGAGTGAGACCACTTGGCCTTCTCGCCGGCATGTTGTTGCCTGTGCTTCAGTTTGCAGGTCATGGCGGATGATTACAAAGGAAGTCGTGAGGACTCCCGAACAGTGTGGGTGGATCACCTTCCCAATTTCCCTGATGCAGGTATTTTAGTTCATCCTTCGTCATTTCAAGGCAGATTTTGAGCTCCCTAACAACCAGGGCTTTAAATCTGAATCTATTCTTCTTTGTTTTTGACCTAATATAATAGCCGGGACCAAGAGAAACGCCAATCCAGTGCTTCATTAAAAGAGAAAGGGCAACTTCAACGTTTCGGCTCTATCTCGGCCTAAGCCCTGGTAATTTCCTTTTTTTCTTTTCTTTTCTTTTCTTTTCTATTGAGATTATGCGTCCTTTTAGTAAAATTCTTGTATCTAGAGAATAGATTTTTTTTAGAAAAAAAAAAAGAAAAGAAACTCCCACCTAGAAGTAGCAGTTATCAAATGGGGGTAGTTATTCACTCCTTTCGGTTTTTCCTTTCCATGATATATGTTATATATCTAATCAGCTTTTTTTTTTTGTTTATTTATAGCTCTGTCTGGTAACTTAAGTAAACTGCTGCTAACTGCGAAAAGAATCCGACGAGCAATGAGTACTGATTTCATTGTATCATTACTTCCAGACGACTTCTCTCGAGCAAGCAACAATTTCATCGGAAAATTGAGGTAAGCTATGGCCGCCACAGTTACGTTGGTTGCAGGGTGGTTGCTTTGTTTTTAATTAATGAACTGACATGAAAGTTGATGATGGATCAGGTCAAATTTTCTGGGGACCAAGTTTTCGATTTATGACAGTCAGCCTCCACATGACCCAAAATTGCGAACTAGTAGATCAAAACGAAGAATTCATTTGAAACAGGTTTCTCCAAGTAAAACTCCAACCAACTATAAAGTCGCTGCCGTAAGCTACGAGCTGAATGTCCTCCGCACCAGAGGGCCGAGGAGAATGAGGTGCACAATGCATTCAATACCTGTTGCAGCTGTGGAGGAGGGTGGCACTGCCCCGACTCCAACAGAGTTTAAAGACTGCATCGATGAACATGATTCATCTACGTCGAGTTGCAAAGGAAAGAAGCCGATATGGGAGTCGTCCCCCGAGCCTCATGAATCGACAGCACCGTTGGTATTGAAGAACAAAGCTCCAAGATGGCACGAGCAGCTGCAGTGTTGGTGCCTGAATTTCAAAGGGCGCGTCACGGTTGCATCTGTGAAGAACTTCCAGCTGGTTGCTGCAGAGACGAGTGAGAATGTGTCTGCAGCTGAACAAGAAAAAGTGATTCTGCAGTTTGGGAAGATTGGGAAGGATATTTTCACGATGGATTATCGCTACCCTCTCTCAGCTTTCCAAGCGTTTGCAATCTGCCTTAGTAGCTTTGATACCAAGCCAGCTTGTGAATGACAGACACCATTACTCAACAACTCGCTCCAAAATTTTCCAATTGTATATATTATTTTGGGAAGTAGCTTGGTTTAGACATTGAATTGAGTAATGAGGCAACAATTATGAATCTGCGATGAAGGGTAGTAAATCTAAATTATGCTCCAAAATCTGTATTATCTAATTCTTCGTCCAATTCGGATTCAGCAGAGTTCATTTATCTATGCTCCAAAATCCTGAGATCACACCACATAAACTCCCTACGAATGCATTCAGCAGAGTTGAGTGCATTAAAGTTTAAAGAGTTGAGTGAAGTCCAATTTTGAAAGACTAGAATAGAACATGAAACACGACAGTTATACATGTACGAACGAACATGGGTACATGATATAGAATATCATCCAAATCCAAGTGAAAGTACAAAGCTAGCTTGAGACACGACTTTTGCTAAAGTAACGGTTGAAGTGACTCAAATAACATAGAACCTGTCTTAATCAAGAGGTCAAAGATTTATATCCCTCTCACGTCCTACTAAAAAAAATAACAATAGAAAAAGTAAATTTCAAAAGCATTTTTTAAAAATTCAAAGGTGATTTGAAACTTTTATTATGGGCACATTTAAATGTCGAGATGGGCTAAGAATTGGATCTAATCCTCCACCAGGCTGTAAATTTTCCAGAAAATTCTACCTTCTGGAGATACTTAAATGAAAAGAAAAGAGGCTTTTCCAAAGGATTTCACTACAGCCAGTCCCCTTGACACTCTCACTACCCTCTGCTCAACAAAACGAATCATATCTTTTAGCCTTAAATATTATTCGTCAACTTGCACCGATCCCACTACACAAACACTCCACCTCCGGTATATAAGAAGCAAAGGACAATAATTCTCTTACCATCCCTCAGCTTCTTCTTTTCCCTAAGCTTCTCTGCCATATCCCAACGTCCATACCCCCCATTCTCTGTCCCAAACTAACTGAAAATAATGGCCTCAAGCTCTCGCACGACGGCACATGGCTTTTACTCATCCTGGACAATAAGGGAAAACAAGAAATTTGAGGAGGCATTAGCCTTCTATGACCAGGACACACCAGACCGCTTTGAGAACGTGGCGAGGGCTGTTGGTGGTGGGAAAACAGCGGAGGAAGTAAGAAGGCTCTATGAGTTACTGGTGCGAGATGTCAACCAAATCGAAGCTGGTCAAGTACAAATACCCCTCTACAAGAACGTTGGATATAATGGCGGACCACCAGAGGCAATATCCTACTTGCTGAATATCTCCTCTACGAAATCATTCCAGGTCTGAATCCTATCCTCAGTGATCTTCTCCTTTCAACTCGTACATTAGAATAAATGTTCTTTTAACGAGAAAATTATGTCCTAGAATTCCTGGAGAAATATATTGAGACGATTCTATAACTGGCCGTTGTTAAGATATCGTTTGATGTGTTGTAAAATGTTCACCAAGTCAGCCAAGCCACGAAGCTTATTCACACGCAGTATAATCCAAGCTAATAGAAAGAAATGTATTTACGGAAGACTAATTTAATTTATCAATCTTCACAACAACGCACATTCAACTTTTACTTCCCACTAGATCAAGCAAAGAATCTGAAAGTTTCCTCAAAAAATCAAGTTAAAAAGGGATACTAATTCCATAGGAAATATGATTAGGAGTGAATATGTTAATGGTGCATGAGTAGTAGCCATGCCTGCCATCTGAATCACAGAAAAAGGTTGACAATGGGATATTGCAAATCTTGAAACAGGCATTTATCGTAAAAAACGATGCAGTCCACGTATCCCTCGAATGCATCCCTTTTTTTCTAATGGCTACCACTTTACTAAAATGGCGGGCACTCCCCTGATCCAATGCAAGTTTATCTTGCGAGTATGTGACTGTAATTTTCTAAGCTTTTCCATCATCCTCAAGTATTCCACTTTCTACGAAACCCACATAATCTCTAACCTCGAATGCACACGATACCATAATTTGGAATCCATACTCCATTATGTAATTTTTCCTTTCATTCTCATCTTTTCTTTCAGTGTAAAATGCTCAAGAAGAATTTAAAGCTTCAGTAAAAAGTTGTCTGGAATGCGTATAAACAGAAACAAGTTCTGTGCAGATGCAGATAAAAGTGAAATGTGTGTGCTACTGAATCAGAACAGCACACGTCAAAATGTAATAAATGAATAGTTCCAGCTAGAATACTGTTGTAATTTAGCCAAAAACTGTACCTGCCTCATGCGGAATCCCTTTTGAAATGGCATACACCATATTTAATCGCTTCTCTTGTTTATTCTACTTCCCGTAGTCTGAGAATCGATTAACGCTATTTTTAATACCGAATCAAATGAATGTAAAAACCGTTGCATAATTATATCAGAACACAGACTAAAAAGATTAATAAATCCAACTATATTGATATATATATATATATATATATCAGATGCAAGCAGCCTTAATACTAAATTTCTACGTGAGACTGCAAAGAATCGCCTAATATCAACCTTCAATTAGCTCGTGCAGAGTACCAATTCAACAGGAGAGCAGATATAAAATGTATAACGCGATAGACAAAGGACATTATGGAGATGAGAACCGCAACGGAACCAAGAAATTTGATTATGCTACTCCTGAAATGGAATCAGAGATGAGCAAATCGTCGCTCACAGTTTCATATAGTGTTACTGACCTTTACGACTATGATGAGGTAGCAGTGGAATTACAAGATAGAGATAGCTGATTCGATTTGAGGAACCGCGCGAACAAAGAATTGGAACGATCTTCTTGGAGAGCGCGATTACAGTTGCTTCCAGGTAAAGTGAGAGATTAAAATTTGAGTCCGCCTTTTGAGAAACGATTGACGCGGGAATATCCATAAAAGTGGTCCTACAGTGTACGGACCGATCCGAATCATCGGATATTATTATTTAGGTTAAAATAACATTTTAGCGTTTTTAAGTTCACTTTTAATGGTGAATTAATAAAAATAATCCTAAAATTTGTACTTTTTATCTCAAAGTTTCAATATAATTTTTCAAAAAATAAAAAAATATCGTTAACCTTAGTTTTAGATAAAATTATTAGTTTTAAAAATAATAGTTATTTTAAGTTTAAAAAAGCTTACTTCAAAAACAATTTTTCTATTTCAATATTGAGACTTCTTATATTTATATTTAAAAAATGCTCGTAAATGAAAGAGTTTCTAGACTTATTTATTTATTTAATGTTTTCATATATAAGAAGAGAAAAAAAAAAATAATAATTGAAGAAGTGCACGAGATTTAAAGAATGAAAGGGGAATTAAGAGGGTCCTAACAAAATGAGGAAAAAAGAAAAAGTTGAAGAAGAGTCATAGGTTCATAAAACTAATAAACTAACGACAAAAATCGATCGAATCAAATGGATATTAAATATGTCTATGGAAATCGAATCAGATGGATATTAAATATGTCTACGAAAACTGAATCAGATGGGTATTAAATATGACGATATCAGCTTTCATCTTTAAACCCAACGTGTAAGTTAGTTGGATGTCAATTTTGACCCATTACACCCCAAAGGCCAATTTGATGCTAACATATGGCATGGGACAGAAAATGGCCCATCACTTGAGAACTGCCAGCCAAGGAAATCGGCTCTGCCTAAAAGACCAAACGCAATGAAAAAGGGAAGTAGTTGGCCGAACGTCTCGTCACTTTCAGATATTCAAAGTTATTTGGTTCCAAGTGAGAAGAAGACTCACCCAACCGCAGAGCATTTCTCCAGCTAAAATCATCAAAATTCAAGCTTCGTGGTGTACCTATAGATCAGGTTCTCAGACGAAGAAACACCAATGAGAAACTGAGCTCTGTCTTTCCTCCCACCATGTCAAACAGATGATGGGGCGACATAAGATACGATTACACAACAAATGCCACAGCCACATTGATTCTCTGCATTTATGATTATTATGATCAATGTGGCAGAAGAATTGAAACGAAGAACAAGGTAAGAGATGGATCGTAAAGTCATTACAGACTATTCTGTCATTGAATATGCGCAAATCAACAAGCGGTTTCTAAACCACATTAAAAGCAGGCATTCAGAGGAACATTCTATCAATGTCCCCACCATATGATACATGTATGTTGACGGCCATCAAAGTGATGTCAACCAATCTAAGAAAAATAAACTGCCACATGTCATTTCATTATTTAGCATAGATGTTTAGAATATCCAACCTCGAGGCACCAAATATTCGTTTTCGAGTCTTCTGCTTCCACATAATTGGCATACTTTTCATTCAGTGGGTACATTGATTGGGATATTTGCTAACATGTACTCTTTTCAAACGGAGTCACTGCCCCCAAGCACAGGCCCTATATCATATGGCACATAGACAACAATCACCATATAAGTATCACAAATCACATGAAGAGTAGCAAATAAATGAGTTAAATGATGAATCTCCGCGGCAGCAGCACTAAGTTTTTGTCAATTGTTCAACTTATTCTTTATCTTTACTCCTAAAAAGGGGCTTATCTTGAACTCCTGCTACTACATGGTTTTCAATTTTAAACAAGACATTAACAAGCAGGATTTGTGTCCATGACCATAAACCTAAACAGTACAAATCTTATGCTCTGGATCCAACCGACAGAAATTTGAGGCGTCTCCTATGAGATCCCACATCGATTAGAGAGGAGAACGAAACATTCTTTGGTGTAAAAACCTCTATCTAGTAGACGTGTTTTAAAAACCTAGAAGGAAAGCTCGTAAGGGAAAGTTTATAGAGGACAATATCTGCTACCGGTAGGCTTGGACTATTCATCTCCAAACCCCAAATATAGAATCTAGAGTGGTAAATGTTTGTTAAAGTAAGGCACATTAAAATGCAGTACCAATAAAGAAACACATTTAAAGTGAGTTCACCTCAAACACCATGCATAAGTATGATACACCGCATGCAATGGATGAAAGAAACACAATTCGCACGGCAAACAATTGAAGCTCCAACACAACAAAGAAAGACTATTTCAGTTTCTATCCATCAAAAGAAAAAATATAGATTTTTCATCTTCAACGACATGTAATATGTGGAAATAATTGTCTGTGGTTGTCAAATGAATTAGTCGAGGTGCACGCAAACGGATGTGATCATTTATTGACATAAAAAACTTGGAAAGAATCAACATGAAAAAATATAATAAGGACATGAAAGTTTTACCCAAGATTGAGAATGCTATTGAGTGGATCAAGAAGCTGCGGCTGCCGTTGATGCTGTTGCTCCTGCTGGTGCTCTTGTTGCTGCAGCTGTAAGCTAGCACCAGCAGCCACTGCTGCTGCGCTCGAAGAAGCTCCCTTTGCCTCAGCAAGCCTCCACATATACCAGGACCCAACCGATCGATACGGCTTCCACTTCTCGCATAACTGATCCATTTGTGATGGTCGAGGCAACTCTTCAAGATTGTAGAGAAGCTGAACACCTTTGCGAACATTAAGATCGTTGATAGGAAGCACATCTGGTCTGTGCAGCGAGAAAATCATGAACATATGAACAGACCAAGACCCAATTCCATTCACCATTGTGAGCATTGTGAAAAGCGATTTATCATCCATATTTACAATTGCCATGTCTGAAAGAATCCCATTTTGGTATTTCCTAGCAAGGTCATGAAGATAACTAGATTTACGACCCGAAATTCCAATTTGCCTGAGCTGTTGAGTGTTCAAGGCAAGAACGGTTTCGGGAAGAACACCAGCGTCGCCGCCACAAAGGGCGATAAAACGGGTGTAAATAGATGTGCCAGCTTTGTAAGCCAGCTGCTGATATAGGATACTTCTAGTTAGGGCAAGGAATGGGGTTTGAAAACTGTCGAAGGTAGGACGTTGATGGAGGTCGATCAAAGGTGCAAGGAGCGGATCCGCATTCCGAAGATGCCGAAGCGCGACTTCCACCTCGCCTTCACAGGAAAGCGATCGGGCTGGCAGCACTGGAGCAGACGCGAAGGCGGCGCGTTGTTGGGCCGTCTTGCTCTTGTGAGATTTCCCGGTGACGATAGGTTTCGGCCCATCCGGAATGGTGACAATCTGAGAGGAATTCGGATCGGATTCAGCGGGCGAGAGCTTTCGAATCTTCCGTGGACGCAAAGGCATTTTGGATGGCAGAGAAGAGGTTTGCGATGGCGCATTCATCACCTCGCTTAGTGCTATAGTGGCTTGAGCAATAGTGGTTGTAGAGTTGGAGGATTCATGAAGCGCGTTCTGAGCCTGCGATTGCGTTTGAGTCTGAACCTGCACTTGCGTTTACTCTCCCATATGTAAGAAATTCAATTCAACCTCTATTTTCCCTCCACTCAGACTCTTCGGTGAGAGGAAACACAGTGTAAGAGTCGGAGTCAAGACGGCGGCGACGGCGGCGGAGAATCAGAAAAAGGCGAAATTCGATAACCAAGGTGCAGAGCTGAAGTGTTTGGAGTCTAACAGAAAGAGAAATTGAAAATCAATTGCGAAATAGAACAGGACAGAAAGCACAAATGAATTTTCAATGGCATGGCGAATGAAGAAGGAGATCCCGGTGCTGTTGTTCTTCTTTCAGGCTTTCTCTCTCTCTTCTCCGTCTCCGTCACCGTCTCCGGTCGATCGCTCCTCCGTTCCCCAACTGGCTTTCGATTTCTCCTCCAGACTGGGAAATCAGCTTTCCGCTGCTTCACGTTCTCAAAATTCTCCCACCCTCCGCCATCGGGCAAGGTTTCTTGGGCTGGCCCAAATTCTAGGAAAAAGAGGCTCTTTTGTACTCTCACCCTAGGCCCATGGTCCATGATTATAAACTGGGCCAAGATCATGGGCCTGATCCATGATTATAAGATGGGCCAAGATCCAAGAAGAAGAAAAAGGCTTTGCTTGCATTATTGGGCCCCCACCCGTGTCAATGCAACGCTTGCAGAGAAAACGGTCGGGTCTATCGTGGCACAATCAAAACCCTCCATGGCTGAAATATATAAATTTAGCAGACAACGGCAAGGTGATCTCTCCCGCCCTCTCCCATCTCTATTTCCTGCCATTTTTCCTTTCCTTTTTCCCATTGCAACGAGAAATAACCTTCGTTTCTTTCAAGATTACGTCTGATTCTTTGGCGATCAGGCCAACAGATTGGCATTTGATTACGAAACCTATTTTTCTTCCTTTTGATCGGAAAGTGACGTAATAGATCATCGTCGATTTGAAGCAGAGCAGAAGAGATGAGTTTCAGAGACGAGAATGACGAAGCGAGGGATCTCAGGAAGCCGTTCCTGCACACCGGAAGTTGGTACCGTATGGGATCGAGGCAATCGAGTATGATGGGATCCTCCCAGGCCATTCGTGATAACTCTGTTTCAGTTCTTGCCTGCGTTTTGATCGTCGCGCTCGGTCCAATCCAGTTTGGTTTTACCGTAATCATCGTTTCTGGATCTTCTAATGTGTATTCGTTATTGTACAAGAAAAATCATGAGAGAAATTTGATTGAATTTCAACATAATTTCACATTACTTGGTGCAGTGTGGCTATTCATCTCCCACGCAATCTTCGATAATGAAGGATCTTCAACTCACAGTCTCCGAGGTGTGGATTCATAATGCCTTCCGCTCTTTCCCCCAATATCACAATGATCTTTTGATATCTGATTTTTGGTTCAGTACTCTATATTCGGTTCTTTATCCAATGTGGGCGCCATGTTTGGGGCTATATCAAGTGGTCAGATAGCCGAATACATCGGGCGAAAAGGAGTAAGATCCCTACATGAATCATTTTTCATTTTCCATTTCCATTTAGATTAATTTGACTTGAGATTCATTGCAGTCTCTGATGATTGCTGCAATTCCTAACATTATAGGATGGCTTGCTATATCGTTTGCGAAAGTAAGTTGAATGATTATCCTAATGAATTACTGCAAATACGTTGAAATATAATGGTGTTTTTGTTAATTTAATGCTTTGTAGGATTCTTCTTTCCTTTACATGGGGAGGTTGCTGGAAGGTTTTGGCGTAGGAATAATCTCGTATACGGTTAGACATTGAGCAATCGGTTATGTTAAATAAAAACAAGTTTGCTTCGAACAGAACCTTGAGAATTGAAGGCTTGTTGATGATTGTAGGTTCCTGTTTATATTGCTGAGATAGCTCCCCAGAACTTGAGAGGCGGCCTTGGCTCGGTTAACCAGGTTGGTTTCGCCGTGATTTTATGTTGCTATGCTATTAATAATCTCTGTTCTTGCTGCTTGCTAGCTCTCTATCACCCTTGGAATAATGCTTGCTTATCTGCTTGGTCTTTTTGTACCGTGGCGACTGCTTGCAATTCTGGGTAATTCATTGGATGAATCCTTTTTTCTGTCTAAAATGAAATGGGTTTTGATTGTTGTCATTTCTTTCTTCTTATTTTTACAGGGATTTTGCCTTGTACGATTCTGATTCCTGGATTGTTCTTCATCCCAGAATCTCCTCGGTGGCTGGTGAGTTTCTCTGAGTAGATAACTTCATGATACATTATCATGTTTACGTTCCGTTTGAGTTCTTTTCAAACTAAGTTCAGGCGAAAATGGGAATGACGGACGAGTTTGAAACATCCTTGCAAGTTCTTCGGGGATTTGATGCTGATATCTCGATTGAAGTGAATGAAATCAAGGTACATAGTGACCTAATTCCTCAAGAACTGGTTACAAGACATAAATATGGTCTGGCCAACTTTTTATCTGTCTGATGATGCACATATGATGCAGAGATCTGTAGCAACGACAGGCAAAAGAACAACAATTCGTTTTGCAGAACTTAAGCGGAGAAGATACTGGCTTCCTTTGATGGTATAACTAGCTTTCATTCAAGAACCATATTTGAGAGTTTAATTGATATTTGCCATGATCCAAAATGCAGATTGGTATTGGATTACTAATGTTGCAGCAACTTACTGGAATTAATGCGGTTTTGTTCTATTCAAGTACCATATTTGCAGCTGCTGGTAACGAAAAAATCTGGTTGACAGTTTATTGCAAGTAGCATGGACTAGTTAATTTTTTTTTTTTTTTTTTTTTAGCTAAATTAATAAAAATAATTCTAAACTAATAATACAAAATGCCCTTAAACCTTCCAAAAAAGTTTTTAAAATATCCCAATTCAAAAATATACTCAAAATTTTCATTAAAACTCTTAAAACTTTCTTAAAAACTTTAAAAATACTTTAAATTTTTTTTACAAAGTTCAAAAACTTCAAAAACACCCATAGTATCATAGTATTTCTGTATGAACATAACCCTTCAAAACGTTTTTACAAAATGTTATAGATGTGGATACTAATTTGGTATACTTTTTTAAATTAAAGTATAAGGGTTTTTTTTCAACTTTAAAAAATTTCATTAATATCTTTCTATTTTTTTTAGAAAGTTCAAACAATCTTTTCAAAAGCAAATAATAAAAAATAATAGTATTTTCGATAATTTAAAAATATTATTGAAACTTTTGAAAGTTTATAAATATTTTTTTTTTTAGATAAAATAGAAAGTTGAGCAATTTTTTTTTTTTTTTTTTTCCTTCTATTCTAGTGGCATTAGTTTCTAGTACAGCATTGGTACACTGGTGATCATTGTATGAAACAGGTGTTAAATCAAGTAATGCTGCTACATTTGGGCTGGGTGCAGTCCAGGTTTCAAGAATTGCCTTACACAAACTATTACCTCCATTTCTTCGTGGCTGATAATTTGGTATTGACATGGAATTTCATGACTTTTAGGTTATTGCCACTGCAGTGACCACATGGTTGGTTGACAGAGCAGGCCGTCGAATTCTCCTTATTGTAAGTTTCTTACTTCTTCTCAGTTCTCCACTCATCATTTTTTTGGGGAGTGAAAAAAATTGGAAAATTTTATGTTTCAGGTGTCCACAGCTGGAATGACGTTCAGCCTTTTAATTGTTTCCTCAGTATTCTTTTTGAAGGTAAAAGTTCTCGGGTGGTTGTAATTTATAATTAGAAGGCTGGAAATTTGTTCTCTAACACTGCTTCCCTACATTATAAATAGGGTCATACGCCGGACACTTCCAATTTATTTGGTATTCTGAGTACGTTATCAGTCGTTGGTGTTGTGGTATGTTTAGCTTGAACCAACACTACGCGATAAAACTTTTGAGTTTTAGAAGTGTTCTCCCTGTAGTAATGCTCATATGGCTAATTTCGTTTCTTCAGGCCCTGGTGGTTTTCTTCTCTCTGGGTCTTGGGGCTATTCCATGGATTATAATGTCTGAGGTATCTTCACTCCCCATTCATAGTAATGTAGGCTTACTCAAGTGAAAACAAGATCTTCCCTACTGTGGCTTATATGCTTTTTTTCGATCCTATATGTGAGATCCCACATCGGTTGGGGAGGAGAACGTAACACTATTTATAAGAATGTGGAAACTTCTCCCTAACAAACTGTGTTTTAAAAACCTTGAGGAAAGCCGAAAGGAAAAACCCAATAGGACAATATATGCTACCAGTGGGTTTAGGCCTTTAACTATATGACATTTGATAATTGTAGCGAGAAAGTGCAAATCAAACTGAATAAAAGAATCAACTTTTACCTGTATTTGGTTGTGAAGTGCGTAGTTGGTCGGAGTTGTGTCTTTTGTTGTCTAAGGGGAAAAAATTGTTCCGCAGATTCTTCCCATCAATATTAAGGGTCTCGCAGGAAGCCTGGCAACGTTAGCCAACTGGTTCATTGCTTCGTTAGTCACGATGACTGCAAACTTGCTCTTTGAATGGAGCAATGGAGGTTTGTTCTTTCTCCTTCGCTGTTTCTCACTCAATATTTGAATTGCATTAGCTTCAGTCTCATGCTTTTGCTGCTGCTGTTACTGTTGCAGGAACGTTCGCCATCTACATGTCTGTAAGTGCATTCACAATGGCATTTATTATACTCTGGGTCCCCGAGACGAAAGGAAGAACACTGGAAGAAATTCAGTTCTCCTTCAGATAAGAAGGTTGTTTTTGTTAGTCTCTCTTTGATACCCCGCCTGTTGGAAAGAAACCCATCCTCCTACACTGCACTGCAAAATAGTAAATATGCATATTGTCCCTCAATATATAAAAATACCAGTGTCTTAAAACTCTGAAATCCCCTTGTCTTGTATCATTGTAATACTAGCACAGTTTGTGCAAGTTTCTTGAACTGGTTGCCTAATTATTTGATTGGTTCATCAATTCAGGTGTTTGATCTACGTACGTCAAAACATCATTCGTTCATTGATTAGAAAATAAGATAGAGGTGAAATGTGATTAATTATCCATAGCACCTAAATGGCCTCCTTCAAAAGTTTCTCAGTCAGAGCCTTAGGAAGTCCCATCACACTGTCCGTCGTCCCTACCTGCGGAGACCCAAAATCCGTAATTTATCTCTACTATAAATTGAAACGATGACACATTTGTGATTGTCCCAACCGATTTGAACTTAATAGTATAGAAAGAAGCGAAACTAACCACTTCTTTCACATAGGGTGAAATCAAAGGATTCTCGATTAACAGCCCACCGGCAACATACAGCACATCCCCCTCCTCGATCTGAAATGTATAGGGAAAAAAAAAATCAAGGTGACAAAAGGTACAAAATTTTATCTTCCTAATGAGAACACGACAAACAACCAATTATGAAGTGAAATCTCTACCAGCTTGTCGATGACTTCATCAGGTATTTCATGGAAATAGATCTGCAAGATAAGAGCGCAGGTCAATATCGAATGAAATAAGAAAACAAGAAAACGTGTGATAGAAATCAGAATCTTCTAGGAGCCATCTACAAGTAGCTAGGAACCAGAAAATCCATATTGGATAGAAGCAGAACAGGAAGCTCCTTCCCTCGATTTTAAAATAACAGTATCTAGCTTATATTCTGCTGGTCCCACAACACAGCGCACATACGTGAACTCGTAATTGAGAAATATAAAGATCATCAGAAGAAATACAAATATATATAAAATATATATATATATATATATATATACCTCCACCCGATCCCATTCTCCTTTCCTAAATCCTGTTTTAAGGTTTGTCACAAGTACGGATCCGAGTGTCGCTGCATGCCCTCCTGAATAATCTGCAACGAAAAACATTGCGAACTAAAACATTCCAGAAATAGTAAATAAAATAGAAAAGCATAACTATTATATAAACAAACCTTTCATAAATTGTCGTGCTTCCTCCTTGCTGGCAGGTTTTTCTCTGACGACACCTTCATAGATCACCACCTCCACATTGATTACCAATAAAAGTAAGATAGCGTGTCTAAGAGGAACTTTGCAAAAAGAACAAGAAAATGAGGAATGGTATAGGGTATCAAGAAAAGATCATTTATGTTTTTAGGATGCAATACGCAACGGGGCTAAGAATCAAAATATAAGCAAACCGTTCCATAATATCTATCTCAAAGTAAATGAGTACAACAGGGCATAGCAAGTGGCGGCAGGTCTTTCAAATGGGATTGGTAATATATTTATTCGGTTATTAGCGAAGGGGACAGAAACTGAGGAAAGGCCATTGAGCATCTACTTTCCATTATCGGCTGCTGCATGATTCAAGAAAGTTTCTAGCAAATCACAAAATATTAAGAAAAAGAAAGAAATTGATGTCAGACATGAAAATCATTCTAATTAACTTTCTATAATCCTCTTTCATTTTAGGACAAGAACAGTTTTAGAGATGCAAATAATTAAAAATATTAGAAATGTCTAAGATTCTGATCAGTTTGGAAATGCTAAGAAAATTCAATATGCCAATTTTGAAGGCAACAAATCTCTTACTCTCTTTGCTGAGTAAAGTAGAAAGAGACGTGCAATGAACATTGTACAGTGATTTTTTCCATGCGGTTGAAATCGAAGATTGAGATCACTTAAAACATATAAAACCGGACCGATGTCAAAGGACATGAAATATATTACTTGATCAGAAGTAATCAATAGAGTGGGCTCTGCGTCCTTAAAATCATCGATGGAGAGTCTTCCTAAGATGGCTTCTGCCTGACAATAAATATCCATCAGCTAAGGAATAAAGCCAAAACCACCAACTACCGTACCAAACCCAGTACTGAAGTTGTGAAACACAGAATACGGTGTAGAAACGAATGAACCGCGAGATGATACCTGACCTTTGCTTCTGCAAGAGCCACGACCAATTCTTCCGGCTTTTCTTTGCGAATGGCTTTCTCGTCAATATCTGCAGACTTAATTTTGAGATAGAATAGTTAAACCAATATCTAAGAATGGAAAGTTTTCAGGTCATGTAAGTACATCTACGTAGAAAATACCATAATGGTGAATTCATAGCCCATCTCAGATAATACTTTTCTACGCGCCTCTGAAGATGATCCCAAAATTATCTGCCAAACAACACACGTTTAAACCAAAACATTATTGCCAGTGAGAGATGCCAAGTCACACCACGCCACAATGGACAAGAGCGCTTTTAAACAGAGAAAAATTTAGCAAACCCACGAAATTAAATCGTTGATGATTCTCAAAGTTGTTTAAGAATGTAATGCCCATTGTCAAAGGTTCTATTTAGAATGGAAAATTTCTAATAGTCGTATTGCCATTTTTATAAATCAAAAGGTTAAGCATCGAGAAAATATCTTTCTCTTCTCGCCTAAATCTGACAAATACCTCAATGAAATGTGGTAAAGATCAATAAATATTAGAAATTAACAACAGTAAAATATAAATACAATCAACGATGAAGTGATAGATGATTATTTATTAATACGAATAGTTTAAAACTCTTATGAATGTGATATTCTTAAAAATATCCGCAACATTTCCATATTGATGAACCGACATGGACATTTGACATTCACAATACCGCAAATAGAAACGTCCTTAAGTCTGGATTATGCAATTGCCCAATATTTTGTCTACAACTATTGGAATCAGTACTTAGATAGATACTAAACAAACGAATTTCTGCATATTGTACTGATGATCGGATCAGAGATCTGAATGAGGTAGACGAATTTAAACATATAGGCAGTGACAACTCGAAGTTAAAGTGCACTTGACGATCACTGCTTGCTTTAGTAGTGTCCAGTCTTTCACAGTGAAAGTCATTGCAAATTTACAAAACAAAACCAAAAGACTCAGCTCAACGTGGAGCATTATAAAACAGTCAATACCAACTGCAAACAAACACCATTTCTTCTGAAAGGTAAGTAAATATCAGCTATATATTGGTAGTTGCAGTCGACATGCCGATTGCTAGAAAGCAGACTCGAAGAACCTTGTCATATACACAGCCAAGAAACGAACAAATCGTTTGAAAAAGAGTTCCTGGATCTTAACGCCTCATGAAGAAGATAGAAAAATGAAGAAAATAGATTCATCCTTGATAGAGTATGCGCGTCCAGAGATTTCGGTTTCATACAAGCCATAAAAAGGCAGGAAAGAGTGGAAACAAGCCGTACCTTAAACGAAGACAAATTAGCTTCCATAACTCCCTGCGTCGCCGATCAGTTGAAAGTTGAAGCTCGTAACTGATTACTGATGAATGGCGCGTTAACTCGAATCGATGTTCCAGCGTCTCTAGCAGATAGCTATACTATCTTCTCTCGGCGGGACGAAAATTGTCTGCGCCTCTTTTCGGGTCTCTGGACTTGATCTAGTTTGTGACTTTGTATGGGCTTCTCTCAAACGGGCTTCAGAGCAAAATGGGCCCGAAACATATTGGAGAAGGACCCCTTTATTTTCTCTATATTTACTATTAATTTGACTGCTTTTATAATTAATAGTTGACTGGCCCACTTTCCATTTCGTGTGTCCACACTGGACATCATAATCCACCCCCTTCAAGACCCAGCGTCTTTACTAGCACACTGCCTCGTGAAGGTTTCCACACCCGGGACATCACAATCCACCCTCCTTCGGGTCTAGCATCTTTACTGGCACACCGCCTCATGTCTACCCCGTTCGGAGAATAGCCTCCTCGTTAGCACATAGTTTCACTATCAAATGACTCTTTGAACTTTCCACTTCTGCTCAAGGCTTTAAAAAGCGTCTGTTAAGGGAAGGTTTCCACACCTTATAAATAATGTTTTGTTCTCCTCCCCACATCACATTCAGAAATCATCTCCCTTTTAAATGTTAACCAATTTACTCTTCCCATTTGTAAAATGACAAAAAGTTAACTTTTTGCTAAACATGTTGATAGGACAAGGTTGGGTTTGGATTTAGTTTATGAATTTTTTTAAAATTAAAATTTTTGGTCAATTTGTGAGTTAATATTTTTTTTTTTACTGAAAAACATAGTTGCAATTCAGCTATACCGTGCTCTTAAGATTAGTATAAAAATTAAGAATATTTGACATTATTATAATAATGTATTGTGATTTATAAATATTTAATATTTAAATTTTATAATATTTTAATTATTAACATATCATATAATATAGATAAATATGATTATTTTAAATAATTCTAAAAAATAACTTCACAATTCAATCCAAAAACAAACCGTTTGAGTTAAATTATAAATTATATCAAAATTCTTTGGATCACCCACCAAGAAATTAAAATTTGATATAGTTCAAAATATTTTTTTTTTAACTTAAAAATAAGTTTTGTATAAGAATAATAAAAAGTCAAACAGTTGCCTAAATAAAACAAAGCAAATTGCTCACGAAAATAAAAGTAGTCATTTCATGAATTTTAAAATCAGTTGAAAAAATAATTTGATATTTTAAAAATTCTGAATAATAAATAATTCAAACCTATAAGTTACTAAATAAATTATAATTTATGTCCAAATCTCATAAAACATTTAATTAAAAGGCCATTTAAATTAGTTTAATAATAATTGTACATTCTGTTCAAATCATTTAAAAGTTAAAGCTAATTTTAAATTAAAAAACACGTATATCTGCACGTAGTAATACATTTTTTATTTTAAAAAGTTAAATATTCGAAGTTTTACTGTCACATATTTGAAATAAGAAAAAAAAACGTAATTAAACAAATAAACTTAATTTTAATTCCACATGCTTCAGTTACCTTCCATTTGTAGTCATGCAGGACTCTTTGTTTGAGATGTGCAAACATGTTTAATTAAATTAACTTTTTTAAACTAATAATTATAAAATATTTGTAAGTAATTAAATTTATATTTAAAAAACCATTTAAAATATTCAAAAGAAAATAAATATTTAAAAAGTTCGTCCACTAATCATAATTTAGAAAATAAAAATATCCATACTCGTAATTTAACCCTCCGAACTATACCATTTAAACTTTAAAAAATAATGTCACGAATATCCCAACAAAAAAAAAATTAAAAAAATTGAAGTGTGTTTAGAAAAGTTTTCAATGGATAACTTTAAATTAAAAATACTTTTTTAAAAGTTAAAAAATACTAATAATTAATAATTTAAAAATATTTTTTTATTTGGAAATAATTTATTATACTATTTTTGTCTATATTTTGATTAATAATAATTTTTAAAATTTTATTTTAAAAATTAAAGGGGTTAATACTAATTTTAAAAGTGGGTAGTTTTAAAAGACGTCAAGAAATTGAAATATATTTTCTAAATAAAGCATGGACGATTTCCATCCATCCAAGAGTAACGTGTCTTTTTTAGATTTTTTTATTTATTTAATATTATTATTGAAAATTTAAAAAATGTATGAATATGTGTGAAGTTACGAAGTTGAAAATATAATTGTTTTTATTAATTTAACCTCAAAATATTAAAATAATTAATTATGTGAGTAATAAATTATGGAAGTACACTAATAACTCATACCAGTAATGTATTCATTAAATATAGAACAATTTGGGATGACAGCTCATGAGAAAGGGACAAAGACTAGAAAATACAGTAAATACGGCTGAAGAAAAGTAGCTACATTTGGCCTTCACAGTAACTAAAGCCTGCCTGTGTTGAACGTTGCAAGTTTAAATTGAAAATTCATCCCAAATTCATACTTAATGCAACTGTAGACTCCTCATCCTGCATTAATCCCAAACAAATCCTTTTTTAAAATTTATAAAAGTTAAATTATATTCTTAAAATATATATTACAAAAAATACCAAAAAAAAAAAAGGGTACATTAATTTTAAATTATTGTATTTTGAATTAAAAAATATTTTCAATAAAAATTTAAAATTAGTTTTTAATTGTATAAAATTTGAAAATGTGGTAGCAAAACCATTATTATTATTGATAAATAAATTTGAATTAAAGATTCAGTTCATTATAATTTAACCCAAATGTAATTACATAGTAATGATTTTATTTGAGTTTTAAAATACATTGCCAAAAAAAGAAAATAATAATAAAGGAAAAAGAAGAAAAGGGTTTTTTGTTACCGCTGTTCTTCGTCAACAAAGCGAAATCCTCCGCCGGCGGGTTCGGATTTTGTGTAGGCGGGGAAAGGAACTTGGCCACTTTCGATCTTGTTGACGTCTTCAACGAGATTCTCGTAGTGCCGTTTCACTTCCTCCGCCGTCTTTCCGCCGACGGCTCTGGCGAGGTTGTTCCACCGCTCCGGCGTATCTCTGTCGTAGATCGCTAAAGCATTTTCGAACATTTTGTTCTGTTTCGCCGTCCATTTCGATCCAGAGGCCATCGTATCGCAGTGGTTGAAATTTTATGAGAGAACTGGCTGCCATTTCGGATGCTTAAATACTTGAGAAACAGAGACGGAATATGGCGCAAGTGGGTTCAACGTTATTTGCCTTTTACCTGTTGCTTTCCACGGAAAACACGGTTAGAATTTTAAAAATAAAATAATAAAATACTAAATGACCATTTAATTTAATCATTTTTTGTATTTTTAATAAAATTTTAAAATAATGCATTTAAATGGTAAATCAAATTTTAAAAACAAGATAATTATTAAATCTCTAAAATGTATATAAGTTAATTAATTTTAATTTTAATTTTAATTTCGCATCTTATAAATTTTAAAAATGTTGAATTAAAAAAAAAAAAAATCTAAATATCTCTGATTTTAGAGATCGTAAACCTGAAGGGAAGAAAAGGCACCAACTCCACGCGTGTAAACTTTTAACGGAGAAAGTTTGTTCAAAATCCCATTTTGAACAGCTTTTTGCCCACTCACGTTTCCCGTAATTGCAGACAAAAAAATAAAAATAAACAAATAAATAAATAAAAATCAACTACCCATTCCAATTACTTGATATGCTGCTGGCACGTGCGAGATATTAATTGTTAAAATAATTCGAGCTCGCAGCAAGCAATATGATTATTTTAACAAATTTCCCAATTTTATTTAACATTTTTTTTTTATCCAACTATAATTATAACATTTTTCTTGGACTAAAATTCAAGAAAATTTTAAAATTTTTATTTTTAACATTTTTAAAATTACTTTTTATTTTATATTTATGAAACAAAAAAATATTAAAGTGCTGGTGTAATTAAATTTAATATAACCTATTAACTTAAATTTTTGGTTCTAATAATGATTTAACATAATTAACACAATTTAGCCGTAGATTTAATCAATTTCGTGTAATGTTGGTACAATTCATACTTCACTCATAACCGTCTCTTTCCATACTTCACTCGTAACCATCTCTTTTCACGTTTTTCCATATTAGCCTTAATTTTTTCCGTGACATTTCGTCCAACACAAGTTATAATTTTGATTAAATTATAAAATATTTTGTGTTAAAACAAAATTCTTTCCGTACTTCACTTGTGACCGACTCTTTTCACGTTTTTCCATATTGGTCTTAGTTTTTTTCGTGACATTTCGTCCCACACACATTGTAATTTTGATTAAATTATATATATATATTTTTTTTATGTGTGCAATAAAAGAGTGATTTTTAGTTTTTCATCTATTCCTTGTAAAATTAATTAGGTTATAATTTTTAATTTCGTATTTTATAGATTTTAGTTGGCTAATTTAACACTTATGTTATTAACGGCTAATTTTAAACGGACTAAAGACATAAGGAACATATGCCATTAATTAGGAAGATAATGTTACCCCAATCTTTCACTGTCTCGTGCAATTTGCTATTCTTTTTATTTTTATTTATTTATTTTATTTTTAAAGTAGGTATATATATGTGAATTCACGGGTATTTTTTTGGTCTCCTCTACCGAAAAAAAATTAAAATCTCATTTCATTTATTGAACAACCCTAAAGTTTTAGTTTCGAACATAGGAATAAAAATATCTGTTCATTGCTTTTTTCCCGTCATTTTCAAAGTCGGCCTCACACTCTATTTCTAATTCTTTCTCTATGGTGGGGGCCGCTCATTTGTACCTGATTTCGAGGCTAAATAATCACCGACTTTTACGCCATTAAATTCAATTTTTTGGTGCTTCGACGTGAATCGCTTTCTCCATAAACAAAAGCAAAATTCAAATTATTTTCATTTTAGGTTTGTTTTAACGCCGTTAATTAGTGATATGATCTCCTTCTTTCGTTGTCGGGTTTAATGACAGTGATTTTAATCGTGTTCGGGTGTCAGCGATAAAAAGCCATCATTTTAGAAAAAGGTGATTTACGCAAGTATGAAATTAGAATTCTTATAATTTATCGCAAATGAAACGTAATTTTCACTAAAGTTTTCTAACTTTTACGAATTTAATTCTACTTTTAATTTTTAAATTCATATTTATTTGTTACCATTTTTCTCTATTTTATTTTATTACATACAATTGGACGTTCGAATGAATCTCATAACCTTTTCCCGTAGGAATTGATTCTATGCCCATACATCATCGGCGAGTATGAATCCTCGTGAAGATTAATTGGGCTGGGCCTCAATTTACATTAAGGCCCAATAGCTGTGATAAAGACAGAGCCCAACTATTACATACACTCGAGTTTTAAAGTGCTTGGAATTAATTTATAAATAAAAATGTGAAAATTAAATAAAAAATTTCTCGTGATTAAGACACACATATATTTTAAATGATTGTAGTTTCCTTATTATTATTGAATATTATTCATAAATTTGGCAATGGCTTTCATATCAAACAAAGACATAATTATTGCCCACCCTTAGACACGGCCAAGCGATGGAGTTTCTTTGCACCTACCCGTCGAGGACAAAAATGTAAATTAAGGTACGTTTGAATGCAACAATTTGAAATTAGGGATTGCCCACATGTTGTTTCGACTATGCACAGTAAGACCAAGTCAATTGTGTGTCTTTTTTTATTGGTTCCGACAGCCGTGGACCACATAAAGACTTGCACACGTAAGGTTAGTAAATTAAGAAGGGATAAATGAAGAAGTAATAAACAATTAAGAATTTTTTTAGTTATTTTAAAATAGTTAAAATTAGTATTATTTATTAAAAAACTACTTTATACATTCGTCTCATTATTCAAAAATAAATTTTATAAAAATGAATATAAAATTAAATATTAAAATGATTTTGATTATTAGGAAACAAATTTACAATTTTTGTTTTAACCCATGAAAACATAGTTGTCAAGTAGGACAACTGGAAGGGAATGCGTTACACGTTGGATGGTCCACTCATCTGACTTTATGTTGTGGTTGGGTAATTGACCGTACGCAATACATTCAAATCATTTCACTTTTCGCAGCCCCCAACTAAAAATTATTATTATTATTATTATTATTGTTTTTAATATAAAGTATATTAATACGAATGCACCAACATTTCAATTGAATTTCGTGTACTATGAATATTTACTGCAAATGTCCTTTTTCTTTTTCAAGCTAATAATTTTATGTCTCATATGTTTATTTATTACGTGTTTTATTTTATAACTGGATGCAATAATATTTTAAATAATCGTAACAATTATTAAAGGCTGGGTTGAAATTTGGATGTTGGGTAATTGGTGGTACGGTCATATTTGTCGGATGTTCCAATCGTGCTTGTCTAAGATAGGTTGTGTATGACCATATGCCGGTTCCAAATCTGTTGGATGTTTTATTGTCAAGACCGAAATATATGAATTTATAATAAAAATCCGAGTTATACGCGGTCAAAACTATATAAATTATGCTTAATCATGTAGTTTTTATAATTGAGCTACCGAAAATGAATGTACATATTTGTTAGTAAAGGTAATAATATCAATTTCCTTTAAGTTTTCTTAGTCATCCTTCTCGTTTGAATGTGCTCTCCATTCTTTTATCTCACTAAATGATAACAATAAATTAAAATACTAATGAAGATAAAATTGTTGGATTATAAACTCATGATCATTCCTTAAATTAGTGTCTTTTCACGTCATCCCCGGTATAATATTAAAAAAAAAAAATACAATATACAATTCTTTTTCCATACAAACGAGTGATTGAGCCATAGTATATCTATAACAGATTATGTTCATATAAAATTAAAATAAGAGCCGTTTTCTATCAGGTATAAGAGATCAATCAAGAATTCTCAGTTTCTCAGGTAGATTGCGTATTAATATGGTATTTCTATGTATAATTTCCGATGCGACAAAAGTAAATTATAGAGAGTATTGTTACAGGCAACGATGATGATGATAAAATGGAATCCAAAGTCTGTTTGGATTCTTCTTTCGTGGAGTTTCTTTCAGTCGTCCACTTCTGGAAAAGGAAAAATCAAACGAAGTTAAAGGTAAGGTATGAATTGGATGAGCAGCTTGAATTGTTTAACAATGGCGTTCTGTCTCTCTTTATTGCGGTTAATGTGCGCTCAGTTGCTATGAATGAGATAATCAGTCATTTATTGAGTCTCTGAAAAAACTCCACCAGAAAGTTTTTGGGGGCAAGGATCTCAAATTCTGCTGAAACCAGCTACCTGTTCTTTAATCGATGCAATTATTGACATTCGGCGTCTTTCACTTTCTCGATCATTTAGTTTCCTCTCTCTCTGTCTGATTGACGAGTAGAACTGTGAATTGAAACAAAGAACACCTAGCGGAAAGTGAAGTAAATAATTGTTTCATTATTTTTCTGTTGGTGACTTTGTGTTGGAATTTATGGCGGTTCACAATAGAACGTAGAATCATCGCTTGTGATTGGAGGTGATATTTAATAAGAGCGTTAAATTGGCGGACTCTATTGATTTCAGATTTGACTGGAAGTTGCTCAACTTAGAGGAGGTCGTGGACCGTCGGAGGCGATGGAGTTTTGAATGAAACTTCAAAATCCACTGTGAGTTTCCTGTTTCCTTCCACATCACCAGACGGCGATGGAATTTCAAGCTCACCGGCGGTATCTGCTAGATGTAGTTTTATTATTGTTATTAATTCAGTGTGGTTTAGGTCAGACGGATTCGTTGAACTCCAGTGCGGACTGGACGGCGTTATTTGGTCTCCGATCATCGTTAGGGTTAAGAGGCAAAGATTGGCCTATAAAAGCCGAACCCTGTTCCTCTTGGACCGGAGTTCAGTGCAAAGCCGGTCGAGTTGTTGGGATCACCGTATCAGGACTGAAGCGAACTCGTAGTAGGCTGATCAGCCCTCGTTTCGCCGTCGATGCGCTTGCGAATTTTACCGCCTTGGTCTCATTCAACGCCTCTGGTTTCCTACTTCCTGGCTCCATTCCGGACTGGTTCGGTCAGTCTCTTGTTACGCTTCAAGTGCTTGATCTAAGCTCTTCTTCGATTGCTGGCCCAATACCCTCCTCCATTGGCAATTTAAGTAAACTCACTGTTCTTCGTTTATCTGGTAATAGTCTTACTGGTAGTATGCCTTCTGCAATCGGACAGTTATCTCAGTTATCTGTTCTTGATCTCTCGAGAAATCTGCTTACTGGGTCAATACCTCCCATTTTCTCATCTCTTAACAATCTTACACGGCTTGAACTTGCCTCGAATTTTTTATCTGGACCGATCCCACCCAGTTTAGGCACTCTTAGTAAACTACAGGTGTTGAATCTTTCGGACAATAGTTTAACAGCATCCATACCAAGTGAACTGGGTAATCTATCAGCACTACTGGTGTTTGATCTTAGCATGAATTCGCTGACGGGTGTGCTACCTGTGAATTTGAAGGGGTTAAGGAATTTGGAAAAGATGTATATTGGAGATAACGGCTTAGAGGGCCATTTGCCAGATGATTTGTTTCGAAGTCTTTCTCAGTTACAAGTATTGGCTTTGAGAGGAAATAAACTTGATGGCGGTCTAAATCGTGACTTGCTAGCACACCCCAAATTGAAGTTTCTGGATGTATCTAACAACATCCTGACGGGTAGCTCGCCAAGTTTTGTTCCAAACAGTGTTGCTGTATTCAATTTCTCAAACAATTTTCTGTATGGTCATCTAAATCTACCCCTCGAATTCCATGGGTCAATCGATTTATCAGGAAACTATTTCCAGGGTGTTGTACAGAACAAGAGTCATAATGTTAGCCTCCGAGGAAACTGCCTGAAAATGGTGCCAAATCAAAGAAATTTTGAGGATTGTAGACTCTTCTACTCTGGGAAAACCTTAACTTTTGAAGGGTTTGGAGAAGGAAATCCGGACGAACTAGTGCATCGTTATGTTAAAAACAATCGCTTGAAGTTCATAATGGTGGGACTATTTGGTGGATTGGGCCTCGTTGTTATTTTTGTGGTTATCCTCGTATTGTTCTTGAAAATATGTGGCAAAGGTAAAGCAAATAAGAGAGAAAAATCTAATGATGAAGCCAGTCCTTCACTTCCAAAGGAACCACTCTACTTCGCTGGTCTGGGAGATTCATTTACTTATGAGCAGATGCTACAAAGTACTGGGAATTTCAGCGAAGACAATCTCTTAAAACATGGTCACTCTGGAGATCTCTACAAGGGGTTCCTGGAGAGTGGCCTTCCTGTAGTGATTAAAAAGGTAAATATGCAGTATTTGAAGAATGAAAGGTACTCTCTAGAACTAGATTTCTTCAGCAAAGTATCGCATATGAGATTTGTTCCAATCTTGGGGCACTGCTTTGAGCGCGAGGATGAAAAGCTCTTGGTGTACAAATGTATGCCAAATGGGGACTTGGCTAATTGCTTGCAGAAGGTTTCCAGTTCAGAAGATGACACCGTGCAGTCCCTGGATTGGATTATCAGACTGAAAATAGCAATAGGAGCGGCTGAGGCCCTATCTTACCTGCATCATGAATGTAACCCTCCTCTCGTCCATAGGTATCTATCAACAAGCTTTCCTTACGGTATTATAAACTGTGTATGTGTGAGATCCACATTGGTTGGAGAGGAGAACGAAACATTGCTTTTAAGGGCATGGAAACCTCTCGTCCACAAGTATCAATCAAAGACGTGTTTTAAAACCGTGAGGCTGATGGCGATATGTAACGGGCCAAAGTGGACAATATCTGTTAGCGGTGGGTTCCAAACACTGAGCGGTGTGCCAGCGAGGACGCTGGGCCCCCAAGAGGGGTGGATTGTGAGATCCCACATCGGTTGGAGAGGAGAACAAAACATTTCTTATAAGAGTGTGAAAACCTCTCCCTAACAGACGCGTTTTAAAACCGTGAGATTGATGGCGATACGTAACGAGCCAAAGTAGAAAATATTTGTTAGCGGTGATTTTGGCTGTTATAGTATGCTAAGTGGAGGCATCTACTTATAGCACAGCTTCTTATTTAATGAAATTAATCGAACATGTACTAGTATTATACATTTTGCCAATGATTTCAAGAACCGTTACCTTTAATAATAGTACAGTAGATTCACTCTATGTTCTGCTTTTCAATTGACATGGCAGAAGTTCCATGTGACCTTTAGTATATACTGTATACAAACAATACATTAACTTTTCTTTTCTTGAATGGGTGAAGAGATATTCAAGCAAGCAGTATCCTCCTCGATGACAAATTCGAAGTGCGTCTTGGAAGCTTGAGTGAGGCCTGTGTTCTAGGAGGGGATCAGCACCATAATGTCTTCTCGAGATTAAGGAGAACACAACAGTATGTATCTCAAGTAGAATTATGAACAAGCTTCTGTTTTTTGGCTCAAAAAAGTCGATTTAATTGAAAAAACAAATAGAATCCCTAAATTGTGCTACTCTGTCAATCATTTTTCTTATACTAGCATAAATTCTAATGGCATCTTCTTTATTCTCCTGTGCAGAAGCTCCGAACAAAGCTCTTCTGGTGCGTATTCCTTCTGAGATTTCTCTTTTTAAGTATACGTTCATAGCTTGAAGACTTAGAGTTAGAACAGTAGAGAAAATGAACTATTCGTTAGTCAATGTTCATGTTTCTTTCAACTTAATGATTTTCCATTCCTGTAATTGAGCTCTGGAAGTGTGACATTATTACCAATTTGTTGTATACAGGGCCCTCACAAGCATCCTGTTCGCTAGACATTTACTGTTTTGGTAAAGTGTTATTAGAACTTGTAACGGGAAAGGTTGGTATCAGCAAAGCAGAAGATTCTACCACAAAGGAGTGGCTGGAATACACCTTATCTAACATAAGTTTCCATGATAAGGAACTCATAACAAAGATAGTCGATCCGTCGTTGATGATCGACGACGATCTTCTGGAAGAGGTATGGGCAATGACGATCATCGCCAAGTTATGTCTGAATCCGAAACCATCAAGACGACCCCTGATGAGATACGTCCTTAAAGCATTGGAAAATCCTTTGAGAGTAATCAGGGAAGAAAGCTCTAGCTCAGGCAGGCTGCGCACAACTTCATCAAGAACATCTTGGAGTGCTGCTTTTCATGGTAGCTGGAGACACAGCTCATCAGATGTACATAGAGAATGTGGCAGTGGTGGCTCAAAACAACCCGGAAGAATAAGCTCATATGGCAGCTGTGGATATGATTTCTTGTCTTCAAATAAAAGGCTATCCAGCGAAATCGTCCCCGAACCAGAAGAATTTCGAGACGTCGAGAGGCAAGACTAGTTCGAACAACCTTAATATGGTAATCATTCCTTTGAGAGAATTTAAATGGCGGGAAATTGGTGGGGAAGCTATTGCTTCATCCACGCTGCCGTTTAGTTTGTTGGACAGAACAGTAATCAATGGAAATCTAAATAAACACTACTGTTTATTATATCTACAGATTACTCTTATTATTAAAGGCAAGACATTACTGTTTATTCATGAAATTTATGTCGTTATATTGTTCGAAATAGTTTTTTTGTGGAATAAAATATTTAAACTATGAAAACCAATTATTCAATTATTTATAAATTTATGTTCAATGGATATTTATGTAGTTACTTTCTAAAATTATTTTCCCAATTTCTAAGCATTTATATGAAATTAAAATTTTAGGTAAAAAAGAATATCCACGTAGTCCACGATGAATTTATTATTATTTATTAGACATGCGTGGCAATTAGCACTGGCAAATGGGGAAGAATAGCGGCGGGACCCACTCAAGGACGAACTGATGAAATGAGAATCAAAACACGTCTTCCAAACTTATCCCGATCGGACGGTCAGGAATCGCTATCTCATTAACCGCGAAGTCAGGAGCGTGGGCCAGAGCGTCTCTGTGTTTTCTCTTTCATTCATTCATGTGTTTGGGTATGCTTGTGCGAGGGAAAAAGGGGAATTTCTCTGCTAAAAGAGAAAAAAATATTTATATTCTGTCAATAGCAGACTGCGATTCCCTGCGATTGTCGAGGAAAATTCGTCTCGAGAGGAAGTTCACAGTCGAGAAAGTAGAAACCAATCACCTTCTTCGCTGAGATTGTGCGTGAAAGGATAAGTGATAGCTGAAAAGGCGAGGGGACAGCCCCTGCGGCTGCGAATTTTCTGCTCGAGAAGAGGAGAGAGAGAGAGAGAGAGAGAGAGAGAGAGCTATGGCGGAAGATGTTCGGTGTTGTGAGTCGAAGTTCTTTTTGTTCCTGTTGATAATCGTAGGACTGGTGGCCTTCGCTGGACTCATGGCTGGGCTCACTTTGGGTCTCATGTCTCTTGGCCTTGTTGACCTCGAAGTTCTTATGAAGTCTGGCCGCCCTCAGGATCGCAAACATGCTGGTAATCTCTATCACTTCCCACAGCTCTTGAAATTCATTTTGAACCTACTTGAATCCTGATGATCTCAGAGGGCTTATCACCTGAATGTTCTTGGCGTTTCAGGAACCTTTTCATTGTTTGTAATTTGTTAGGGCCTGTTGGCTATTGAAATTATGCAATACTGTGTTTAGGAACGGGGAATTAGGTAGTTGTGTTTGTCTGCGTGCTTATGAACTGGGTGGACGGGTTGATTGGGAAGTAACATTGTTGTGGTTTCTTTGGCAGCTAAGATATTGCCAGTGGTAAAGAATCAGCATCTTCTACTTTGCACACTTTTGATTGGTAACTCTTTGGCAATGGAGGTAGTAGCTACATTTGCACATCTCTGTTTGTGGAGCTTGCATAATTTGCTAATTAAACTTAGCGTTGTTGTATGTGTCCCTCCTGCAGGCTCTTCCGGTATTCTTAGACATGATCGTACCTCCTTGGGTGGCAGTCCTTGTCTCGGTTACTCTTATTCTCATGTTTGGAGAGGTACTTCTGATCCGACCTATCCTAAAATAATTTGTACGTTTGGATATTATTCTGTTTATGTGACGCATACTTCACTGCAGATATTACCGCAAGCAATTTGCACTCGTTATGGGTTGAAAGTTGGGGCAATAATGGCACCATTCGTTCGCGTTCTTCTCACGGTTTTCTTTCCCATTTCATATCCAATTAGTAAGGTAAAACTAGTGGAAATGATCATTGCCCTTACCTCTTCTAAGTTCTAAGCAAGGAAATGAAAATTGTAGACTGAGAATGATAGGAAAATAGTTTTTTGGCCCTATTTACATGATATTTGGGAAGCTTTTTTGAGTATCTTATATAGCTGCACGGAACCAATAATATTTACTGAGTCACTCATTTGAGTATCTTATATAGCTGCAGGGAACCAATAATATTTACTGAGTCACTCATTTGGTTTCTTTTTCGAAATTTAGGTTCTTGATTGGATGTTGGGTAAAGGGCACGCTGTACTCTTGAGGAGAGCAGAGCTCAAGACTTTTGTGAACTTTCATGGCAATGAGGTTTGTCAATCAACTTGGGCATGTAGTCATGGGCATCAGTTGAATGAATTAATATGCTTGGATCTGAGTGCTCTAAAGGAATATTATCCTTATTTTGTGTGCTCTGATTTTCCTCTTACTCCATTCAACATTATCTGATGAATTATGGTGTATAATCTATGTTGTCTTAGGCTGGAAAAGGTGGAGATTTAACTCACGATGAGACTACTATCATTGCTGGGGCACTTGAATTGACAGAAAAGACAGCCAAAGATGCCATGACATCGATATCAAATGCATTTTCCCTTGATCTGGATGCAACTCTTGATTTGTGGGTTTTTAATTTTTTTTTAAATTTTCAGTTCTTGTGTCTGTCTCACTTGGTTTGCACGTTATTTCCTTTTTCTAAAGCCCTTTCTCTATATGGGCAGGGAGACACTCAATGCTATTATGACGAAAGGCCATAGTCGAGTTCCTGTTTATTCTGGAGATCCAAAAAACATAGTTGGACTAGTTCTGGTAATTCATTTGCATCATCCATAGATATGACAAACAATAACATTTCTTGATAGGTTGAAATGAATTCTCTTTCTTGCCTTTTCTGTTGTGGCTCCTAATAGTGGGATAATGGGAGCTAAGAATGAAATTCAGAAATGGCTAAGAGGGAATTCACAGGTCCCTCTTGCCTCTCGATTTTAAAAATCAGTGATACTAAACATGCAACGCTGAAGTACCTTGCATACACCCTAAATCAGCTCTTGCACAAATTAATGAACTTTCGCTATGCTATACTTTTGGACAAAGGAGTTTAAGAATGTGAGCTAAATTGTCAGACTGTCGACCAACGATTAGGAAAACAGAGAGCCTTGGTCAAGCTGAGTTGTTTCCAATTAAAATTTGCAACATGTAAACCAAGTACAAAGCCTAATTGAGCAGATATGATTAGTTTGAATGGCGTACCTCTAATTTGCGGGTTGCTCTGCATGTTTTTCAATATGTTTATTCAAGTGAGTCAAAGTTAGTGAAATTGTTTTCATTCCTGATTGACACACATATATTTTTCATTTGGTGTGTGTTTATTGCACCAATGATAGTTGAACTTGAGATATAGTCCATGGAATGCAGCATCTGCTCATTTGCTCCATCTCGAACATCTTGCAGGTTAAAAATCTGTTAACTGTTGATCCAGAAGATGGAGTTCCCCTTAGAAAAATGATTATTAGAAAAATTCCACGGTAAGAGAATATCAATTGATTCTATCTTTATGCCTTCAGATGAAAGTACCTGATGATCAAGCTTGACCTGTTTTCATTCCTCAACTACTTCAGGGTTTCTGAAGATATGCCTCTATATGACATTTTAAATGAATTTCAAAAGGGCCATAGTCACATTGCTGTGGTATTCAAGAAACATGGCTACCAATCTGAGGCATTGCTGAAAAAAGGTTAGGATGTGCGAAGCTGTGAGTTTTTATAATTGGATCAAAAGAAAGTAATTATTAACAAATAGACTATCCAGTTATGTTTACGGCAGTTGGGGTTTGAGATTTCATCAATTTCAAATTTGTTGTCTATGCTGTCCATTCCTTTATGGCTCAGATTTTACGTTCATAGTATTTCTCATCCAAATTTGGTTAGGTTCTACACATTGGTTAGCTTGAACTCATATTTACTCGAGTCATTGAGCTCCGTCACTTTTTAATGCTTCTCTCTGTTTCCAAATTCCTTGGTACCGTATAGATCCACCGATTACAGGGGATTCACATCAATTGCTCTTAGTTGTGCTGTTTTCACTGTGAATCTATTGTTACTTTTGACATTCCCTTTTCTCGTCTGGTTGATTCTCAGACAATGGTGTTGACTCAGCTGCTGGTGCTGCTACTCATAATTTTGCGATGAAAATGGAATCAGTTGATGCTCAAACAATAGCTGAAAAGGCCGGGGGCCAACAGACGAAGAAAAGTCCACCAGCTACTCCTGCCTTTAAAAAACGACACAGAGGTTGTTCATTTTGCATTTTAGATGTCGAAAATGCGCCTCTTCCTGTCTTACCTGCTGGTGAAGAGGTGGTTGGTGTCATTACTATGGAGGATGTGATTGAAGAACTTCTTCAGGTTAGGAATTTTTCTGTAACTTGCACCTAAGCATGGCTTCGAAAGTTGGGAGGTTATCTCTGCATGCGCTGCAGTGTCATCCTCCATATCGAAAATGTTGGTATCTTAGGATGTCTGGTGGTTAGCATCTTAATTCGAAGACATTGTGCCTTTTCTTTTTCGGATACCAGCTCCTTGACTGTTGTCTAAGTTATTGGCTTCATAAAAATGGATTAGTTAGTTTGTATTGAGCTGGTTGGCTGTTTGTTACTGTTAAATCATCCATCTTACCCATCATTTGAATTTGATCTTGCGTGTCATATATTCTTATGTCAGGAGGAGATATTAGACGAGACAGACGAGTATGTCAATATCCACAACAGGTACATCTTGCTAGCTTTAGAAAAGCTCATTTATGCTTCATGTTTACCCGGACTCGAACTCGTGCATGGTTTTGCTTTCTTGCTGAGATTGCACCATTACAAATCTAAGGATTGGATCTATTTTGTTGTTGTAAATATATTTCTTATGAAATCATTTGATGTTTTTGTTGGATGATCACAAAATTAAACGGAATTCTTCTGAATGCAGAATAAAAATCAACATGCAACCATCTCCGGAAAAACCAAGCACCAATCCACCTCAGCTTTCCCCAAATGTTAATACGTGACTGCTTTGTTACCCAGCAATGCCGGGTCGGACAAGTTTTCACGGGGTCTTCCGAATTGGCTACTGCAGCTCTTCCCCATTCTCTTCACTATGCCTGCCTTCGATAGTCAGGTTTTACTAAAACTTTTTTCTTTTAATCATACAAGAGATTTAAACTGGAAGAATGGAAGGTGAAATCTAGATAAGAGTTAGCTGTAGCGTAATTTATCTCTATGATGGCATAGAGATGTATATTTTCCCAAGGTTAGATGATTGCATTTTGGAAATGACGTTCTTTGATTGTATAGGAATAATATGTAGTTATCTTCAATCCAAAAGCATGTGTATCAATCAATTGACTTGTAGTTTTTTTTGGAATGGAATAATCTTCTGTACTACAATAAATACCAACTCTTGTTATCATTATGTCACAGCAATTTGATTTTTGTAATGGGTTCTACCATCATATTCAAATTGAAAGTTTATTATGAAAGAGGATATTCTATCAAGTGTTTTTTCATTTTTGCTTGGTAGCTCGTCTTGACCATTGAGTCGTGATGATAATGAAGTAAATGGCTTTCAAGTTCTTTAGAAGAGTAGGCATGATTATTATTATTAACCATTAATGCTACAATTCCTTATTCATTCAATAATAGAATTGAAAAATTTTATGGCTCCCCTAATGTTTCTATTTAGTTTTTGAACCATAAATGTTAGCTTAATTTTGATATTGAATTTCTAATTTGATTGCAATAAATTTGAGACATAAATAATTAGTAAAATTAAGTTTATTTGAACATAATTTCGAAAAGTTAGAAACTCTTACCTTTATACGTTATTAAATTTAATATAATAAAATAACTATATATATAAAATTAAAAATTTAATTGAAAAGGAGTCCAGACAAAAATTTAATTGAAAATGAGTTTATATATATATAATTTTAATTTAAATTGAAAAGAAGTTCAGACAAAAATTTAATTGAAAAGGAGTCAAGACATCACTGGATTGATTTCTAGTGATCAATCCAGTGTAAGATCTGACATAATTATATTTTAAAATTATAAAAGTGTAACTGAAAATTTAAAAAATAGATACTAAAAATAATAAACATCTTAGCGAAATTAAAAAAAAAAAAAAAAAAAAAATATATATATATATATACACATAAAAATAAAAAATGGGGGTACATTTGATTTGAATCGGCCAATATTCGTTTGCCTTTCTTCTGATACCTGCGTGTCATTCACGAATCTGCCTTCTCTCCCCAAACCCACGCGCGCGAAAGAAAAGGAAAGAACAGAAAAGAAAAAATAGCGTGGCAAAGCCGCTTCGCACGTGCACTGCACGTGCTCAACAGATACTAACACACTTCGCCGCCGTACCATTCCGTCAATTCCCGGACGTTTCGCTCTCTTGCCTAACTTTCCGAGTCCGAAACCGCAACCTCTTCCACAGTTTTCACGCTAGATTCCCGTTCCGATTAAAACATTTGCCTCCATTTTTAAAATTTTATGATAGTATTCATCCGTGAGAGCAATGGGTTTGAATAATTCATGTTTCTGCTTAGAAATTTAACTCGGTAGCTTTTTTGTTATTCAAAATCCCGGATCTGATATACCTGCAACTGCAAGTAAGCCTGCAACTGCAAGTAATCCATCTGAATCTCTTCATTTGGCTGGACTTTGTCCTTTTCTGAATCTGGATGTTGAGTTCGCTTCGTTTTCAAGAGCTAGATGAGTATCCATTCACTTTGATTCGGACGGTGGCTTCCGATTTCCGAGGTGAGTACTCGTAGTTTTTTTTTTTTAAACTTCAGCTGTAAGGCTATCGGATCTTTGTTTTTTAATCCGAGTTTTTATCTTCTTTGAAGTAATTTAGTTCTGTTCTTCTCGATCTTGTTCTATTAGTTTGTGCACGTATTTTCTTCAGTTCTGTTTGGGATCGGATTACAGTTCGCGTAGTATTTTTGTAGCTTAAGATTTCCCTAGAGCCGTCGGTGGACGAATGGCTATAGCTCGGCTTGCTCGCCAAGAAAAACGCTCGTATGGATTTTGCGCGAAGTTGACAGCAGTGGTTATTTTAGGACTTTGTTTTATAGTCGTATGGTCGATTTTTGCTTCTCCTTCCACGTCCGTGACGATTCAGAGGGAAAGTTTCGACAACATTGGTGAACCCGTGACAGGAAACAGGAAAGTTAGCAATCCTGGAACCCAAATTGATAATAGGAAGAAAGTAGATGAGGGAAAATCGAGCAGAGATACCAAAGAAAGAGTGAAATCCGATCTAGATGGAAAGGATATGAAAAAGGTTGACAGGTCTGATTCCAAGTCTCCCAGTAACCATGCATCTGAAAAGAATCATGGAGCAGCGAAAGAGAAAAATGAAAAACATAAAGAAAACAAATCAGAAGTTGCAAAAAAAGAAAATCATGGATCAGAGGAATCTGAGGAGGAAGATGCACAAAAGGGAAATGAGGAGGAAGAACAAGAAGTGAAAGATGGTCAAGAAGCAGAGTCAAAGGTTGATGAAGCTGAAACAGAAGGTGATCTGGGTGAGTCAGATCAGGAACCTGAGGAGAGGAATGAACCAAAAGATAAAGGGAAAAAGGTCAAGAGAAAAGGTCCATTGTTTGATCCAAATGCTCATTATAGTTGGAAACCATGCCGAGCTAGAAGTAAATACAATTACATTCCTTGTATTGACTTTGAAGCTGGAGGGGTAAAACAGCAGGGCTATCGGCATAGGGAAAGGAGTTGCCCTCGAGTACCTCCGATGTGCCTTGTGCCTCTTCCTCCCAACGGATACGGACCCCCAGTGCACTGGCGGGATAGCAATTCGAAGGTACGAAAGAATATGTTCGGTTTTATGAGGATAAGTGAATTACTATCATGTTCTTTCTAATAGTAATCAAATTTGCAGATACTTTACAAGAATGTGGCACATCCAAAGCTTGCTGCTTTCATCAAGAGACATACTTGGTTGGTGGAAGATGGAGAGTTCCTTACATTTCCTCAGAATGATTCTGAGCTCAACGGTGGAGTTATTCACTATCTCGAGTCCATTGAAGAGGTAAACTTTTGGCATCTTGCTTAAAAGCTGTGTCCATTAGCTTAATTTTCACGATCTAGATTTGGAAAATGTAATACAACTCCGCAACTGAGTCATGCCCTCTTTCATGTCTTATTGATACTGTTGATATCAAACAGTTAATTTTGATGATCAAATTTCCGGTTCAAGCTTATTTGTCACATCATAGAGTTGACGAGTTCATAGGTGGATAGTGAAAGGCATGTGATCTCTCCATAGCTTGTCTTGTACGATAATGTGATCGAATGTTCAGTTACCTCACATTTATAACTCTAGAATGTGGAGAATTCCTTCATTATTTTCTTTCCCTTTACAAGTAAAGGTGTATGTTATTTTTTATTTCCCTACTTTTCGAGGGAATAATGTTTCTATTTATCGGTTGAAATTCGAATGCATTTGACAGATGGTTCCTGATATTGAGTGGGGCAAGAATATTCACTTGGTTCTAGAAATTGGATGCACATATTCAAGTTTAGGTGCTGTTCTTCTTGAAAAGGATGTTATAACATTGTCATTAGGGTTGAAGGATGACCTTGTAGACTTGGCTCAAGTTGCACTTGAGCGAGGATTTCCCACTGTGGTTAGCCCTTTGGGGAATAGAAGACTTCCTTTCCCTAGTGGTGTTTTTGATGCCATTCATTGTGGTGGATGCAGCAGAAGTTGGCATTCCAATGGTTTGAGCACCTTCTCTTTCTTGAAGATTATTCACAAATGAGAAAAGACCCCTTCTCTAATGAATGGTTTTGTTTTTGTTCTCTCTTTCTCTAGACGGGAAGCTTCTTCTTGAAATGAATAGGATTTTACGACCTGGTGGATACTTCATCTTGTCCACTAAACACGATAGCGTCGAAGAAGAAGAAGGTTCGAAATCTATCCACCGAATTTATTTCGTCTAATTCTCCAATTGTCGGTTGAGGAACTTCAATATAAGATAAGATGATTTTACTAACAATTCAATTGTCAATATCAGTGGAGAAAATCATTGAACACTTACAGACTAGGTGTTGAAATTCTGAGAAGTTAATATTTGAAATGTTGCCTTAACCAAATAATGAATCTTGTTCTTGCTTGCATCCTCCTTCTTTTGTTGAATACCAGATATTTAACATCTATAGAATGCCTGTAAATTCACTTTTCAGCAATGAGTTCATTGACGGCCTCAATTTGTTGGAACATTCTGGCACATAAAACCGATGAAGTCAGTGAAATGGGTGTTAAGATATATCAGAAGCCTGAATCAAACGATATATTTGAGCTGAGGAGAAGGAAAAATCCACCTCTATGCAAGGAAAACGAAAACCCTGATGCTGCCTGGTAATTCTTTTTCCATGAGGGTGCTCTAGAGATCTTCATTTATTTTTATGATCATCGAATATTCGTCAACTTCCTAGATTCATTAGTTATTATCTGTGACTGCGTTCAAGACGTAGTCGATACTCTATGCTACTCTATACAAAGTTATAGTTATTTAGTTGTACCTGAGTACCAGCTTCATTGTGTGCTTTGATATATGGACTGTTTATTCGTTGGTTGATAACTTCTGTTTGAACAGGTACGTGCCTATGAAGACATGCTTACATACGATTCCAACGTCTATTGAACAGCGTGGAGCCGAATGGCCCGAAGAATGGCCGAAGAGACTTGAAGCTTTTCCTGAGTGGTTAAGCAATGACAAAGAAAAGTTAATTGCAGACACTAATCACTGGAAAGCAATTGTTGAGAAGTCATATCTCACTGGAATAGGTGTTGATTGGTCAAATGTGCGAAATGTGATGGACATGAAAGCCATTTATGGGGGGTATGATATCATTCTACTGCTCAATATATTAGACTTAAAATAGAAAGTGAGAATAGGAAAGTATATGGACGTTAATTTTGGCATGCATTTCCAGGTTTGCTGCTGCTCTCTCTCAACAGAATGTTTCTGTTTGGGTGATGAATGTGATCCCAGTTCATGCACCAGATACACTTCCCATAATTTTCGAACGCGGTCTGGTTGGCATCTACCACGACTGGTGCGAGTCTTTTGGTACTTATCCACGATCGTACGACCTTCTGCATGCCGATCATTTGTTCTCAAGGCTGAAGAACAGGTGAGAAGTTCAACACCTTCGTATTCTTCCTGCCTTGTGGTATTGACTGCTGTAAGTAACTTAAAATCGATATTGTAGGTGCAAGGAGCCTGTATCGATCGTGGTCGAGATGGATCGTATAGCACGACCAGGAGGGTGGGCAATTATACGTGAAAAGCTGGCAATTCTGAACCCATTAGAAGGCATACTGAAGAGTCTACAGTGGGAGATTCGGATGAGTTATTCTCATGGAGAAGAGGGAATTGTAT